TCAATTCACTTCATCAATTAATCTAATCCATCTCAAGTTCAAGATCAATCTAGATACATCATACCTAACCTTCCTCCCCTTAATGAAAATATCATTATGATCTTCATGATAAAAACAGCTAGATCCAAAGTTAAAGTTAAATATATACTGAGAGTTATTACTATAGTTAGTGCATTTGCATTGACCTACCTAGACATAGGAGGTCCCTTTTTCGTGTAACCGAACACCACCTACATACCATACCTACTTACTTACTGTACAACGTATGTTTTTTACTTGAGCCCCCACGATTTTCATTCGCTTACTGAATGATCTGACTGATCTGACTTGACTTGAATGTTATTATTTGGTTGCACCGTTGTAGGTTACACGGTTTTTTTTGGTGAGATTCGGAGTCCCGTCTCCGAAGGCGCCTGGTGTGGTCTGAAGTCAGCGTTCACTTTGGTGTTACGGGCGGGATATGTATCACAAGATGTGTATTTTGATGTTTGTGTCATTGTGCCATGTGTACTATTTGTGCCTTTTGTACTTCACTCCCAGTTTACGATATTAATTATCGCTGCAGATATCTGTTTCAGCCATTTTATTGTTAAGTACTATAAACTGAGGTATCATAAAGCATATCCCGCAAGTGAACCGTCCTTTTCCATTTCCTGTCCGTTCCTTCCTTCCTTCCTTTCCTTTGCTACATTATCATCCCCATCCATCAATCATCCTATTTGCTGTGTGGAAGTTTCCTTGCACATATTTCTTCGTAATGTATTCCTCCCACTCCACATTTCCACAATCAAACTCTGAGAGAAGACACAGAGCTCAAGAAGTCTTCTTGGCGCTGCTTGGTGCTGGGGCCACAGGTCGTCCTTGACTGCGTTGATAGATTGTGTATGCGCAGAATGCGGCGGCGAGCACACCGATTACGACTATATTGTCTATTTGAAGAGAAAGATTAGCTTAGATCCTATAATTTTACTTTTCCTTTCATCTCTTCACAATCCTTCTTCTATTTTGACACCTTCTAGAATGGACAAGCAAACAAAGTGAAAATGTTGAAACTTACCCAAGAAAAACCTAACCAATCCCTCAAAAGTCTGCACAATAGTAGTAACAGCCGAACTGAGCGCTGCGAAAAATGCATTAATGATACCGAGGATCATATTGAAGATAGATTGGAAAACAGCGATGATAGAATTGAAGGTTGCCATGATGGTATTGACGATGGAGGCAATGAGGTTATTGATAGATTCGATAACGGAAGGCATGATTGCTAGTTCTAGGACGTTTGACGGATTGATTATATTAGATTGAATCTATGAATTGCGTTCCGATATGATGTGCTATGATATGAAACTTTGATCACGTCGTATTGTAACCGCATGTATGTAAGTCTTATATAAATAAATCAAAAACCTAGAAATGGGAAAGGTGGCGGTGGATTATTTTAATATATACTCTCTCATTTCATCCATTTATCATTATGTCGTCAAGTCATAAAGTCAGTTAGGAAAGATGACCTCATTGCCCAGAACAAACAAAATGTATTTAGGTTGGTAGGTAGGTAGGTATATACTTGCACTTTTCCTCTGCGACGATTCTTATCGCATTGTTTATTGCCAGTAGATGCGTCATATCGGAAACCTGTTTAGAGCTAACCAAGTGAGTTTACTTGCCATCTACCAAATTTTAATCAAGGCGACCGTTTATATATCGTATCTAGTAACTTCTACATTCCTTACTATACCCTACCACGCCACTTGTAGTTTTATATCCTGTTCTATCCCAAAAATCGCATCATGCACTAGTAGATTGAAAAAACACATGCCCATTAACGAAATGCCATCCCAAATACAAAATAAAATCAAGATTCGGTAATGGATATTGGTAATTGTGATTCTTGGAAAGAGGTGATTTTCGCACGGCTGATGGACTATATATGACTTGTCATTGGTACAAGGTTTGAGAGGTTCTTGTGGGGGCGGGCGCTAACGGGTGCTAAGGCTTGGCATTTTGGAAGGGGAAGATTTTTGGGCGCGGGGAGAGGATTCCTTTGCGCATACCTAACCTTACCTATCTTATATCTTTTTATGATTTTGGAATGATAGGGAAGGGATTGTGGATATAGTGTATTGGCCGAGTCTTGGGTTTTACATTTAAAGTGATTGGGAATTTAGGTGCTTGTTGCAGCAAATTTGGGTTTGATTAAGATAATCGATATCGAGGTCCTCACAGTCTCACGTGGTTGAGAGAGAGGAGAGAGTTGTGGATGTGATCATCCAAGGGAAATGGCACCATCCCAACAACTTCCTAAAAACTGGCCTTCTCACATCCCATATCTCACGACCCCGACCTATTGCGCAACACTTAACTCCTCACACCTAAAAGTACTTCGCACACAAACTCCCGATGGCATCCCTATTCCACCCTCACATGCAAAGGGCCCCTCTCCTCTCGTCAAGATTACGCCTATTAACGATCCATCCCATCCTGCGAACGGACAGTGTGGATTATTCGCCACTAGGGACTTGAAACCCGGAACATTTATCTTGCAATACATTGGCGAAGTTCACGCGCCAAATGAATCGACCGATGAGAGGATCAGGAAAATGGTAGAAGTACATGAGAAAAGCGATTATGATTTGAGTTTGGATAGAGACACGGGAATTGGGGTTGATGCACAGCGGAAAGGGAATGAGGCGAGATTTATTAATGATTTTAGGGGGGTGAGTATTGGTGGGGAGAGAGCGAGAGTTAATGCGGAGTTTAAGGAGGTTTGGGATACGGGAAGGGGGGAGAGGGGTATGGGGGTTTGGGTGCTGGGAGAGAAGGCTGGTGGTGGGAAGGGGAAGGGGGTGGGGAGGTGGAGGGGGATTAGGAAGGGAGAGGAGATTTTGGTTAGTTATGGGAGGGGGTTTTGGGGAGCGAGGAAGGGGGAGGAGGAGTGGGGAGAGAGTTGTGAATGGGTTGGTTTGGGAGGGAGAGGAGTGGAAGAGGAGAATTTTTGGTCACATTCTAGTGATCTTGAACGGTTAAACGATTCCGTTAACGAAGGTTAGGAGGCACCGAAGCCGAGACGTATCAGTGCCACTAACGAAGAAACCGAAAAGGTCAATTCATAGAACCGAGTTAGTACCTGCTACTTCTACTCTGATTGAATCACTCATCCTTTGCTGCGAAGGTCAATAAAGAGTTCGACGACCACAGGTAAAGCTACTCAGAGTTGAAATAGCACATATCGAGAATAAGGGGTGATTCAAATGAATATCCCAAGAATGCAGCAGCTGCAAAGAGACTTATCACGACATAGAACGGGGAGATACTGCTGGATATTTAAAAACGATTGTATTCAAACGAACGTTCAGGTCTGAACATGCCAAGTAAAGCCACAACATTCGATAAATTCTGAAGCTCATCAAACAGGATGAAAACGGAGGATTTGGGAAGTCTTTAGCACAAGAATATATGGTTTATTACCTACTCATATTTGTGTAACATCGAGATAAATCAGGGGTAAGGATAATCTTGTAAGATACAGTATGCCTCGTTTTCCTTTCGGGATTTATGATTTGGGATAGAAATATATCGAGAACATCTTCAATCTGCATGAACATGTGGGTCTCCCTTCACCGCCTGAGAAAATGGCTTTCAGAGTTGTCAGAATACGAGAATATATAAGGAAAGCTTGGTGCCAATATATTTATTGTCTTTCGTCCAAAGCTTTAAACGAATTTGTTATGTTAAGTTATGATATGGTTTTGGAGAAATGGAAGCTTACAAGTTTCGATTTCATAATTTCACCGCATATCCAGTAAGTTATGACGATGGGTGGAAGAGCATCATGGTATCTCGTCAAATGCTTGCCCCACGTTCACAATTCTAGTAAGCATGCTGCTAAAGTCGCGATTCCGATTGGTTAGGAGCTTTTATCGCGTTGCACACAATGCAAACGGCCTTCCCGTTGTGCGATACATTCCCAATCTCTATACTAATAATAGTGACTCGACCATTTAAATTTATACCGACAAGGAGGTTTCATACTTCAATACCAAGTCAAGCCAGTCGAAAAATACAACATTCATCAGGAAATCCCACACTTTACGGATTCCGACCTCGTAAACTTGCAACTTTCTCTCAATCGCACGCATAAAGCCCCGCTCCAGATTCGCCCAAATCACCTTGCGACGATTATCTATCAACACGTCTGGCAGACCAAGACCGGACTTTCTTCACTTTTCCCACCTTTCAGGAGTCTTCCTCCACTTCATACGCCTTTAAAAACGCCGTGTCCCTTTGAGGTCACAGCTAGGTGTTCATTGAAGTGACCGGAAGGTATCCCTTCTTGCCACTTCTATTCACACATGAGTAATCTCCTCTGGAAATATTACCTCGAAGATGACGTCGATAAATTTCGACGCCTACTGGCAAATACTGCCTATTCATCGCAGCATACACTGAAAAGTCATGGTGGAGGAGGGCCGGCATTCTCCAGCAGCTTTGGGAACAAAATAGGGAGTTCAGGCGGATTTGGAACATCACCAAAGACTTTCGGCAAGAACCGCAAAACACCCGGTCCAGCTGGAAACTCAAATGGGAATAAAGGACAGGGAAATGCGATCAGCAAGGCAGAATTGAATAGCAGAGATTATGCTGGGTTAACTGTCTTACACCGAGCTGCATCTTCGACATCTACGAATGCAATAATCTTTGCGACCTCTCTTATCGAACATCCTTCCATCGACCTCTATATACAAGATACGGAAAGTGGGTGGACAGCGTTGCATAGGGCTTTATATTTCGGCAACGTCACAATTGCTCGAGCAATTATCGAGCGAGACTCGAAGGATCGCGCCGCTGGAAATACAGGAGCTAAGCCGGACTCTTCGGTTATCAAGGTCAAGGATAGGGAGGGAAACACCCCATTTGATGTATACAATGCAACTATCGCAAGGCGATCTCTGCTAGACCGAGGAGAGCAGGGAGTACCTCACCGTTCAGATGATGATTCTGATGAGGAGTTATTCGATTCACCGTCGAGCGAATCGTCAAAGTTCAAAAGTATCGATGGTGACGAACTTTATGCATTTGGTAGTAACAAGAACTTTTCATTGGGTTTCGGTGATCAGGATGATCGTCAGTATCCGGAGAAGATAACGCTTAAACGTCCTGACCATTTACTCTTTCGATTTTATCAAGAATACTTGGACTCTGTCTATGATCATAACCCTATTGGAAACCCAAAAATGCCCAAGACAGTATCTGAACTTCCTTCCATGATTCAAAATAAGCCCATCATCATACAAGATGTTGCTCTGTCCAAACTTAGTAGCGCTGTATTAACTACGGATCCGGAATCAAACCTTTACATGTGTGGCTTTGGCCCTGGAGGTAGATTAGGCATGGGGGATGAAACCACTCGTTTCAATTACGTGCCAGTAGATCAAGGCGGTTTGGCAGGAAAGAAGGTCGTAACTGTTGCTTTAGGTCAAAATCATACGCTTGCAGTCTCGTCGGAAGGAGAGATTTTCAGTTGGGGTACAAATACTTGGGGTCAATTAGGCTACAATCTACCTCGACCTGCGCTGAAGGATGAAGAACCACTTTGTACAACCCCGCGCCAGATATTTGGACCTCTGAAAAGAGAAATCATTATTGGCATAGCTGCATCTGCTATTCATTCAGTGGCCCACACGTCTACCTCATTGTTTTGCTGGGGAAAGAATGAGGGACAATTGGGTCTTATGGACTCTGACTCACGATCTTTGGAAGCTCAACCAATACCTCGCAGAGTTGCCGCATCTTTATTCAAGTCATCAATTGTAAAAGTTTCGGCCATTAGTGGTGCAACTATATGCCTCTTGGCAAACCATACAGTCTGTGTTTTCACGAATTATGGTTACAACATGGTCAAGTTTCCGTTGTATGAGGGCTTCACAAACTATCATTTACAAAGTACCTCGCTCACGACTCGATATGACTCAGAGTCAAATAATATCACTACTATTGAGTCTGGCGGAGATACAATTGCGGCTATATCTGGTAGAGGTGACTTGTTTACCTTCAATGTAAGGAAAATTGATACAAAAGTTGCGGCGGCTTCTACAACGAATCCCTCCAAAATTAAAGATGCTTTATCACAGCCGCAGCGAGTCTGGTCACTTCGCAAGGGTAATTGGGATGGAATAAAATCTGTTGGTGTCGCCGAGAATGGGTCCGTGATAGTTTGTACTCAGGCTGGAGCGGTTTGGCGACGCATCAAAAGAGCTAAGAATAAGGATGCTTTCACTGGGATCAGTGGTTACGACCGGAAGGATTTCAAATTTCAGCGGATCCCGGGACTTACTAAAGTAGCTGCTGTCAGAAGCAATCCTTTTGGTGTGTTTGCGGCCATCCGTAAGGACTGTGATGTGACCAGGACTCAAGTTGCAGTTGAAGATAAGACATTGTGGGATGATATTGCACCTTTGCTAAGTATCCGAGATCTTGTAGCTTCGGAGCATCCAGTAGAACAGGCGGGAAGTCTAGTAAACCCTCGCCTGGCAAATTTGGACATCGAATATGGCCCTGTCCTCGCGGCACTGATCATGTCTCCGGACATCGAGGAAGATGTCCAAGGCTTGCTCATGGGAGTGGATTCTGAGAGTGGTGGTTATGATGTTGAGATATGTTCCAGTACATCTGACATCGCAATACCTGTCCATGGCTTTATGCTGGCAGCTAGATCATCTGTCTTGAGATCACTTCTTGCCGACTCTCATGCCAACGGAACCACTTCACTGTCTAATATCCTCAACATTGAAAATAGTACGGGTGGTAAAAAGAGAATTATCTTTAACGGCATAGATTTTATCACCCTTGTCAATTTCGCTATCTTTCTCTACATTGACAAAATTGCTGATGTTTGGGCCTTCGCGAATTATCTCCCGAATATGGCCTTCAGACTGAGGCAGGTTAGGATTGAAATCATGAAGCTTGGTTCTCATTTAAATATTCCCTACCTAACTCAACCTGGACTTGTCAGAAGGCCCTCAGACAAATTGAACTCTGACATGGACAACGCTATTACAGACGAGAAATTCTTCGATAATTGTGATGCTATTGTTGAGTTGGATGGAGGAGAGATGCCTATTCACAGTGTGCTTGCATGTCAAAGATGTCCTTTCTTCGATGGTCTATTTAATGGTCGATCGGGAGGTCAATGGCTTGCTGGTAGACGCGCAAAAATCACAGATCCGATCAGCATCGATTTGAAGCATATTTCGCCTGATACCTTCGAACTGGTATTGCGTTATATATATGCGGATGTTGGACCTGAGCTTTTTGATGATATCGTCTCCACTAATATTGATGAGTTCTCGGAAATAGTTATGGACGTCATGAGTGTTGCGAATGAGTTGATGATTGATAGATTGTCTCAGATCTGTCAACAAGTGTTGGGTCGTTTTGGTATGTTATTTCCGCACAGTGTTTCACAGATTTTCTTTTAGAAGTTACACTGACATCATGAAGTCAATACTCGAAACGTATGCAATATCATCAATGCCGTGGCACCTTGCTCAATCACCGAACTTAAAGACGCCGGCCTTGAGTATATGTGCTTGCAGCTGGAGTCAATGCTTGAGAATCGGTAAGTCTATCCTCCAAACTTTGATAGATCGGGTCATCATAGTTTCTAGTAGTACACTTTGCTAATATAAAGTAGTTTACTTGATGATCTTGATGAGGACCTTCTCCTTGAATTAGATGAAGTCGTGCGTGACAATCAATTGAATTGTCTTCCATTCGCCAAAAGTGGACGAGCTGATCTAGATTTGCACGAGAAATATCCTGAATTGGCGGGGGACATTGATGAGGAAAGACGTCGCAGACTTGGAGATATGATCTTCCGTGCTCATCTAAGAGATGATGATAATCGAATATCTTCATCTTTCAAGGCACGTATGGGGAGTCTTGATGATTATTTACCCTCTCCAAGTAATGATAAAGCTAGGAGGAAATCAAGGGTGGTCAAGAACGAACCATTTAGCCCAAGTGTACGTCCTAAGGATGCAGCGGCTGATTTCATGTTTGATATGGATGACGATGAAGAGCCTGGTAGTCCACCTGAACTGAACTTGACTAACGACCTAACTTCTGCTTCCCCTGGTGGTCCAGTAACTCCAAGGTTCCCTACAACTGGTTCGACGCCTAAGGTTTTCGAGTCAGGATCTCCTACGGACTTTCGAAATTCTGTCGGATTAGGAATCAATCACAATCCAGACACCCCTCAAACTGGAAATAAAACTTGGTCTTCTCCTAATCTTTTAGTCAAGCTGGACATGAAAGATATTATGGCCCAAGCATCAACGAACCGTACTTCGAATTTATCAATGAGTCTCTCAGCTCAAAAGGCCAAGGATGAAGCGAATGCCAAATCATCTACCCCAAAACTTTCACAGAAAGAACGTAAGAAGCAACAGGCAGCTCTTCAACAAGCAATTGCACAAACTCCTGTGAACAAGGGTAAAGACAAGGCATCTTCTCCTTGGCAAATTGCAGGTGTGGGTTCAAAAACGAACCTCAAGGATATTCTTGATAAGGATAACAAATCTTCACCATCATCCTTAGCACCAAACCCAACAACCTCACCAGCTATCTCACCTTCAAGTACTACTTCAACTATACGTCGAGTCACGGCGCCAGATACTCGATTTGCTGGTCAAAAAAGGAATGATAATAACAGCATCACGAAAGCACAAAGATCTTCACCTGGTCCATCAAGGCCAAGCTTGTTAACACCAAGCAAATCGTCTCCACTTATTCCTCATTCGAAATCATATACAGCGCCAGCAGCGAAAGCCGAACCGTCACTACAGTTATCCATGGCTGATATCATAGGAATGCAACAAAGAGAGCAAGAAGTGATTAAAGAAGCAGTTGCAAAGCGAAGTCTTCAAGAAATTCAAGAAGAACAAGCATTCCAAGAATGGTGGGATCAAGAGAGTAAAAGGGCTCAAGAGGAAGAAGCTTTGAGGGCAAAGGCTTCTACTGGAGTTAGTAGAGGTGGTGGTAAGTCTGGTGGTGGTAGAGGAAAGGGTGGACCGAGAGGGAGAGGTGGAAGGGGAAGAGGTGGTGGGGAATCTGTTAGGGGTGGTGGTGGCGGAGGAAGGGGAAGAGGAAAATCTCAGGAAAAAAGTACTGGCGCGAATTAATTTCGTGATCGTCATTTTTATTCATTTCATTGTAATTATACACACATTTTAGCGTGCGGGAAGTGGGTATGAGATATCCTGTGGCATGGCATAGCATTAGCAGACGTATATTCATATATATATTTGAAGTATGAACAAAGATTCATTCATTGTATTAGATATCAACATCAACATCGGAGATTGGAGTTTCAGAAACAAGAAATAGAGAATACAAAACTATATCCACTTTATTTGTTTTCTTTTTTATGCCGCCGGGGATCGGGGTTTAATCCAGGTTTTTTGTGATGGTATTTACTTCGTTTTGTATTGTGTTGAATAGCATTGAACTGAATAGATATACTATAGGTTGAATAAATCGTAAGTAAAACCCAACATAATCATCAATCGGTGTAACTATATAAGTATTCGTATAGCTTAAACCTCAGTAATAGACCCAATGAGAAATTGTTGACCAGACAATAGAGAACTACCATAAGAAAATAGTGGTGAGCTATTAAAGTTCTCGATGTGTGTGGGAGACTCAAGAGGAGGAGACTAAGATTCAAGATTTAAGACTAGAACTAAGACTAGAACTAAGACTAGAACTAAAGGTAAGAGTCAGTCAATCCTACGATTAAGTAAACAAGTAAATATCGAAGAGGTTTAGTTCTTAAGTCTCGATCGGGATTCGATAATCTAAATGACTCGAGTAAACTATCATCAACTTAACAAACAACTCAAGATTATTGTAGGCGAAGACTAAAGTAGTAACCACGCACATGATATTTAATCTTTTATTTCTCCAAATTTCAAATTTCAAATTTCATTATAACTTCTAATCCTTCAATATTTCTAGCTTCTCATCATCTATCATCCAGATTTAAAAATCAAAAATCAAAATCAAAATCAGAAATCCACAATGACACAATTATATACAATAATACAATCAAACCCTCCAATCACCATGGCATTCCCCTCCGACCTATCAGCTTCAGATACTTATAGAGTCACAGAGGAACTATGGAATATTCTCCTCCAGCACGAGCAAAAAGCAAGGAATTGCTAAACTATCACATTCACACCCGCCGGTACCATTGCTTATAGCACCCATCCCTATCCTAGTAAGCGATACCGAAGTCGAAATCAAAACCTCATCAATAGCAAAGGTAGAAATAGATATTATGATGGAAGATTGGTATGAATCTAGTGCAGCTGATGCTTCTCGATCGCGAGCTCTGGAAATGGGTGCTTCTCCTCAGCTAGTATTAGATAATGATGATTATAAGGGGCTTGGCGGGGATAGGGATACTTATTCGAATGAAAGGTTGATGGATGTTTTGGTTATATTTTGGGTTTTGGGGTTTTTGATGTTGGGGTTTGGGGGGGGGGGGGGTCGTTGAGGGTTTTGAGGGAGTTTTTGGAGGGGGGTGGGGAGAGGGGGGTAAAGGGGATAGGATGTGCTGGGAGGGGTGTTGAGTGTGGGGAGGAGAAAGAGGTGGATTTGTATGGAGAGATGATGGTGGATGAGTGTGTGGAGATTAAGGATTGAGAATGTAGGGAGGGGGGAGGCTGACAGTGAGAGTGAGGAAATCGACCTGATGGGAGGAATGAGATATTAGAGAAGAAAGACGAAGAAGGCGAGAGCTGAGAAATTATCCTCGGCTGATGAAAGGGAAAGTGTATAAACTTCCAATGTTTAATATCGATTCGCATATGTCACGGATTTCGCCCAGCCGGGCGTGTTATTCAAAATATCCCTGGAAGCTTATCGGGGAAATTGCAGGCCATGGGGCAGTACTTAACTTGAAAAAAGACGAGGTAGCTCTGCGGGCAATATAGCGACTATTCCTGGGAGGAAATATGAAGAGATAAGATGGATAGATCTGGAAATGTTCACTATGTGGGATGCCCTCGGTGGTTCTCGTATAATTACTAGGGATGATAGGTGGTAATATGAATGTTTAATAGTAAGATATAATTGTTGGTACGAGAAGGATACGGAAGACGTAGCACCCACGGATTACGTAGGTCCTGTATGTCTAATTGTATTCTGTCTAAAGAGCTAGCTACATATTGAAAGTAGTAAGTCTTATATAGACTTACTAAAAGAGCTAGTCTCTTTCGCGTTCGCTTAGTTCTTTATTACAGTAGTAATTGAATTGAAGTCATTCACTTCGTTCACACAATAATAATTAAGGAAATGATATTCCCGGGATATGTTTCGTTTTCACTTGAAGTTTTGAATATGTGACTTTACTAGATAATCCAAAAGAATAGATGTGTGATTCAATTTGTTATCTCACAAGATTTAACTGCTAAATATCGCTCATCAAATCAGTGGAAACCACCTACATCTTTAGATAAATCACGTTTTTCATGCTGCTGTCCGGTAATGTTTCTAACATAAAGCTATGCAAAACGAGTACATCATTTCTAAAACGCCTAATTGAATCACCATCAAAGTCATTATCATATTCGTAATCTAGACACCATATTTCTAACCACAGACCCAATCTAGTACCGGATAGACTTCTTAATAGCGTCATAAACCCCTATATGATTGTTAGTCATTAAAACAAAAACCCAGAAACTCTGGACTTACTAGTAACGTCTGGTACGTTGAACTTCTCAAACATTAGTGGCATATGTATTCCCCAGCCAGCAACTCTAGCAACTGGTGCCTCCATTCTCAAAAATGTCTCCTTATCTTCCTGTATACTTGCAGCAACTTCCGCACCAATTCCAGCATTTACCATACTTTCATGTACTACTACACACCTTCCAGTCTTTCTTACACTCTTCAACACTGTTTCTTTATCCCATGGATATACTGTCCGCAAATCAATCAACTCAACACTGATTCCGAGATCTCGTTCTGCTGCTTCTAATGCAGCGGAACATGTATACATAGGGTGACCGTAAGAGATTAAAGTTAAATCTTTCCCGGGCTTGACAATTTCTGCGACGGAAAGAGGCAATGTGTAGGCGTCTATTGGGACTTGTTCAACAGCTGCACGGTACAATGCTTTAGGTTCCATAAAGATACATGGATCTGAACTTTGTATAGCAGATAGAAGTAGACCCTTTGCTTGAATAGGTGATCGTGGCATTATGACTCGAAGGCCAGGAATATGTGTAAATAGAGATTCCGGAGACTGGGAATGATATCTGTTAAAATTTATCATTAGTTTGAGCTTCTTCAACACGGTTCATGGAATTCAAAACGAACAAAGCACCATGTCCTACTGCTCCGCACGGCATTCTAACAGTGAGTCCACCCAATCCTCTTCCATATTCTCCATCTCTATATCTCCACTTTGCTGCCTCATTGACCAATTGATCAAAGGCTGGGTATACATAATCTGCAAACTGAATTTCAGCAACAGCTTTCATACCCTCTGCAGCTGCCCCAATCGCAAATCCTATAATTCCTTGTTCGCATAATGGTGTATTGAATACCCTTTCTGATCCATATTGTTCTGCAAGTCCAGTACTGCAACGAAAAACGCCTCCAAATCCTACATCTTCTCCAAAAACCATAGTTGTTTCATCTTTAGATAATGCCAAAGATAACGCATCGTTAATGGATTGAAATAGGTTCATTCGTTTTGTGGTACCATTTCGTATTTCTGGTGGAAATTCGGGATTTTGTAATGCACTTGATGTGCTATGGCATAACATTGTCGTTGATCCATAATCAATTGCCTTGTTAAGCTTTGCTTGCGGAGGATAAGTCGAATATGCTCTTGGGAGTTTCGAATTGTGGATATTTCCTAAAGGTTTCAAAGGTTTGATCGAGCTGACCAAGGAAGTCGATAATCTTGAAGTTATTCGCATGATGAAAGAATTGATGAATACAAGTACAACGTTCTACGACGTTGGATGGAATGGTTGTATGTACTAGGAAATGTCATGATAATATGAAAGTTACAATATTGATGTAGAGTTACAAAAAATGCGGAGAAATCTGGGGAATATAAGCCGTTTCTAAGCGGATGATTTGATAAACCGATGATGTACTTTTGGCAGCTGAGAGTGAGTGGGACTTAACCGCCAAGCTTTTATGGACCAGCCTCCAAATTTATGCGGATGAGGATGTTGCTGTAGGAACGAGAAAATAACCCTGAACAATCCGTGTGCATACGTATGTCGAACATTTAGAATTTTTTGATGCAAGGTCAGCACGATTACAATTCATTGTACATATAAACCATGTCAATTCGATAGTTTCATTTATATTGGCACACTTTTTTCGCATTATCAAGTACGAGAGCTGGAGGAGGATAGAGAATGGCAGGGGACGCATCTGATCGACCACATAGAAAAAGTACATTACACGAGAAACGGCGAGCGGAACGAAGATCAAGGGCCATTATCGCGGAATCTGAAGCACCTTCTGATCCAACCGAGTCGCAAACCTTATCAGTCGATTCCCTAGCAAGATTAAATGATTCCCTTGAACGAGAGAAGAGAAGGGAGGAGAGGAGGAAGTCAAGGTCGAGGCCACCAGTGAATGACGGCAATGGACGATCGAGGGAAAGAGTGTCACCTAGCAAAGATAGAAGACGAAGGCAGAGCGGTTATGCGACAGAGGATTCTAGCTCCCCGAGTAAAAATAGAAGGAGGAGAGAAGGCGATTATGATGAGATTCCAGGTTCACCAAGGAGAGAAAGAAGGAGGCGGGACCATGGATATACCGATGATGAATCTGGTACACCAAATAAGGACAGAAGAAGGAGAGAACGAGGATACACCGACGATGAATCTGGATACCCCGGTGAAGATAGAAAGAAGAGGGAGCGCGAATATTCTGATTACGAGACAGCGGCAGAAACAGCTCTACGTATTTCAAAACAGAGAAGAAAGCAAAATGGCATCCCAGAACCAAAACAAAATGCTCCGCGTAAAGCGCAACCGACTTTGAAGATACCAAATAAATTCACAGACAATGAAGCAGTATATGAGAAGCCTCGGAAAGAACCTAAAACAAAGAAGCGGAGAGTTGTTAGTGGAGCACTTTTGGAAGAAGGTGAAGGAGAGCTGAAGCAACGAAGAATATTCAGCGGTGCAGGACTGAAAAATGATTTAAGACATCTGAAAGGGTTGAGAGGTGGATTCGCGCCTACGGAATCAAGCTATTATGAGAAGTATATCGAAAGTGACGAGGAGTTTAAAAAAAGGCGGAAACGCATATGTGGGTTTTCAAACTCTAGGTCGCAAAAATTATGTTTAGAGCTGATAATGTATTTAGGGATTGGACTTGGAATTGGAGTAGTAATCTTGATAATTATAATAGCAGTTGCTGTGAGTGCTAGCAAAAAGCACACATCAAGCTCCTCGTCGTCTACAGCTCCCACACCAGCGAATGGAAGTCCTCCAAATTCAAATCTTGATGGCATGTCAGAAAGTGATATTCCAGTTGCAGCTCAAGGGACATATTTGGATCCTTTCACATGGTACGACACGTTAGATTTTAATGTTACTTATACGAACGAGACTATTGGAGATCTTCCAGTAATGGGTTTGAATATTTCTTACAGCGATGATGTAGCACCAAATTCCAATGCACCCAAAATATCTGCAGACTGGGGAGCCTACACTTCAAGACCAGCCAGAGGTGTTAACTTAGGGGGTTGGCTTTCTATCGAACCTTTTATTACGCCATCTCTCTTCAATTCTTACTCATCAGCAGATGGTATTATCGATGAGTGGACACTGACCACTAAGTTGGGTGCCAAAGCAGCTGCATCTACTCTCGAAAAACATTATGCAACCTTCGTCACTGAACAAACATTTGCCGATATCGCCGCTGCTGGTTTAGATCATGTTCGAATACCTTACTCATATTGGGCAGTGATAACTTACGACGATGATCCCTATGTTTTTCGCACCTCATGGCGCTACCTTCTCCGTGGTATAGAATGGGCTCGCAAGCATGGTCTTCGCATTAACCTCGATCTTCACGGACTTCCTGGATCCCAAAATGGTTGGAATCACTCCGGTCGTCAAGGACTTGTTGGTTGGTTAAATGGAACCAATGGCGACCTAAATGCTCAACGTAGTATTGAAATCCACGATCGACTCTCCAAGTTTTTTGCTCAAGATCGTTACAAAAATATTCTTACTTTCTATGGCCTGGCCAACGAACCTAGAATGACAGCAATCGATCCTAATTCTGTTTTGAACTGGACATCCGTTGTGACGGATTTAGTGGTGAAAAATGGCATCACAGCGCAGGTCGTAATTGGAGATGGATTTCGAGGGCTCGAAAATTGGCACGGTGATTTGACTAGTTATGACAATTTAATTCTAGATGTTCATCAATATGTCATCTTCAACAATGGTCAAATTCTTTACAACCATACGGAAAAAGTTAATTATGCCTGTACTGGCTGGACTCAGCAAACCGAATTATCCATGAATAAAAATACGGGATTCGGGCCCACGATGGTTGCAGAATGGTCTCAAGCCGATACGGATTGCGCAACCTATCTCACGAATGTGAATCAAGGGAATAGATGGGAAGGTACATATAATTCTGGAGATCCATCAACAGAGCGGTTGACGCCAGATTGTCCCACACAGGATAATACATGTAGTTGTACGAACGCAAATGCAGATCCAAGTACCTATAGTGATACGTACAAGAGCTTTTTGAAGATGTTTGCCGAAGCGCAGATGCATAGTTTTGAGTTGGGTTGGGGCTGGTTTTATTGGACTTGGGCTACGGAAACTAGTGAGGGGGGTGGAACACAGTGGAGTGAGTTTCTTTTTTCTTTTGTTTTATGCTTTCACTTCTTTATGGTGGTGGATTGGTTGGTGAGAAGATGGATGGAAGCGAGAATGAGATGAAGGTGTCTGGAGAATATTGGATCGGATACTAACATACCGAATAAATAGGTTATCAGAGAGCATTAGCAGCAGGCATTCTTCCAAAACTAGCATACCAACCGGATTTTAACTGTTCAACGACAATTCCGAGCTTCAGCGATTTACCCGAGTACTATTAGGTATCGCCGGACTGGAATTCAATGGATTACTTGGGGAATATCGGAAAAATTAAACTTGTACAAAACGGATTGGAAAGGGGTGGAGAAGACAACAGCAAGTAAATAATATTACGACGCTATGAATAACTGATGCATAACTATAGAAGGGATTAGACCATTTAACTTGAACTTTGCGGCATAATCAGCTCGAGGCGTATGATTGGAATTTCTTGTATTGAAGCTGGGCTGGAATTTTTAATGCTTGGATTATGTATGTAATATAGAGGTGGAGATATGGAATGATAATACCTAAGTAGGTACCTAGTAGGTATTGATTATGGGATTTGTAGATTAATAATTATCCTGTATATAATTACAATTTGATGGAATTATTTAATAATGTTGTTCTTTTTGAGGATTATGGGAGAGGAAGGAGGAAGGAGATGAATGAGGTGAGGAGAATGAGGAGAATGAGGAGAATGAGGAGGGTGAGGTGAGTGAGGTGAGTGAATATTACTCCATATCGAAATATTCACAACCAAGAATCCTTGATGAATTTTTCCAAAGATTGAAATTATTACAATTTATTATTGAAAAAATGGATTTTGATTAAAAAGGCCCTCAGCTAATCATCAATATAAGCTATCCTCTTCTCCTCCACCATCCTATGCATCTTCTCCATTCCCTCATCACCTGTTCCATTCCATTTGCATCTTCTTCCCTCGATTCCATCGTGAGAAGAGATTCCTTATTGTAACTCAAGTAGAGTTTCTAGCCCTCCACTCTGTGATACATGCAAGAACGAATGAAAGAGAAAGTGCAAAGAGACCATATATAACTTGAGTTGGCTTGATATATCGCAAAAAGTTAACACACCAATCGAAGATTTGGTGTCAAGGCACAATTGAACTTAACACCGCTCCTCACAACTTACTTCCTTCATTGCTAATTGTTCTTTTCAGAGTATGTGCATAATGCCAATCCTTCCCTTCCATATCCATACGCACCTTATATGCTTCTTCCGCCTCTTCCAAAATCTGCATATCCAGCTCTACCACATTCATCCCCTCCTCTCGTCCCATTCTACCCAAGGCTCCTTGAAATGGTACGGTAACTTGACTGATACCCAGAAATCCTGCATTCTCTTTACCCTTTCGTATTGGTGCTCCGGCATTACAGAACACAATTCCGCAGGTATTTTCAAATGCTCTGGAGGTTAACATAGATTGAACAAATAATTCTTCGGAAAGCGGGTTGCGTGCCAAGCCTGCGGGTGTACAGTCGCTAAGAGTCCAGAACGTGGGAATGATGATGAGTTTTGCGCCTTGAGAAATGAGCTCCCGGAAAGCTTCTGGAAACGCGGCATCCCAGCAAATAAGCATTCCGATTTTACCGAGCGGAGACTCAAAAGTGGTGTGTGGGTCATGGGTTGATGATGTTAGGTGTGGACGTTCTGGATGCCAGAGATTCTTTTTGGTGTAGGAAGAGAGAATTTTGCCTTCTGGGGATATGAAATGTGCTGTGTTGTGGAGGAGGGATGTTTCGGGGTGCAAGGTGCAGATTGTGCCTGGGACGATGGATATTTTGAGTTCAGAGGCGAGAGATTGATAACCGGAGACGTATTTCGATGTGACATCGTGGTGACATAGTGAAAGAAATTCAGGTTCATCCGGGACCCATGAAGTAAGGTGATATTCTGGAAGCACGGCAAGGTCACATCCCTGAGAAGCGGCATCTCTGATGAATGCTACCGCTTTTTCATAGTTGTAGTCCGTAGCTAGAGGCTAGTAAATAGTATGAGCTCGAATTCTTGTTAAGTTTCGGGACGTGGTTATCGTATGGGCACCACATATACTGGAAGGGGAAACAAGTATGTTTGCTTGACACAGGTCTCCCTCAGCGTATTAGAATTGCACTCGATAAAGTAGCAATAATGATGGTAGGCAAACAAGAAAAAATGTCAACAGACCTTTGGACAAATCTGGATCAATGCGATTTTGTATACCGGTACCATGTTTGTGTTTAGTGCTCTGAAACTTCTGTCTTTAAAATCAGTATTTGCTGTGCATGTTGTGAAGTTATTACTTACGAGCGAGATAGTTCATTTGTTATTTCTTGTCAACGTATGAAGTTTATCTCAAAATGGCTACTAGTTTTCCGAAGTTCTGAAATCAGGAGCGTGCAATATTGGAGTGGATGAGGGGCTGGATAACCAACCTTAAGCGGACGCTAGCGGACAGTCGGCTTTGCTTTATTTGTTCTAGCGCTTAACCTTAATGTCACATCTAAGCATAACTCGACGTACACTAGCAAATATATCTGAAAATTTATATTTATTCTTATAAAGAAAATAATATGCCTCCAGAATTAATAATGGAATTTCTTGTCCTTTCTATTGTGAATTTTGACATGTTTTTGGGATTGATTGGCTGTCTGTTGGCCAATATCGTACAGGTAGTATGCCATGGATCGCATCCACCAGCCATCCTTAAAGTAGTGTAACGTCGACGTTGTTAAGGTGGCCTTCGGCTGAGCCGCAGCTTGATATCATACTTGCGGCCGCAAACACCCCTTTTTCTATCTACCTACTACCGGTCGTCACAATGATGAACCCATTAGATGCATTGTCATTGGCAGGAACAATCATTCAGTTCGTGGATTTTAGCTTGAAGGTGATCGCTGGCGCTAATGAACTCTACAAATCTGGAGCTGAATCGCTAAATGTTCACCAACAATTGGGACTTGCGGTCGACGACCTCTCTACATTGTCTCAGAGGCTCTCGGATTCTTATTCAGGTCTGTGCGGAAGTGGAGTTATACCTGCTCCGGCAGATAACTCGTTCATTTGCATCTGCAAAAATGCAACGGAATCGTCCACAGAGCTCAATAGTAAACTGAGTAGTTTAAAAGTCACTGCCACTGGTAACCGAAGGAAATGGCAAACCCTCAAACAAGCATTGAAGTCAGTTTGGTCTGAAAAAGAATTAATTGATTTGCAAAATCGCTTGGCCTTGTTGAGGGATTCTATACAGATGCATATCGTTGTAGATCTTCGGTAAGTCAATCCAAGAAGTCCGCGTTTCACGGAAAATGACGATTAGAAGAGATCAGCTTTCTCTCATATCATCGAGTCAGACAAGTCGCTTCGACAATCTCGATTTTAATACGCAAACTATTGTTACTGCACTTCTAAAGCATCACGATGAAGTTACTAAAAGTGTTCAAGACCAAACCATGGCAATCACTCAATTTCTTGGGAGAATGGAGCTACTAACTGACAAGCACACTTTTTCTACGATTGCTGTGCGTCAGCTCGATATGATTGGAGATAGCCAGTAAGCATAGTTAGTTCTTCCATCATGCAGTCACTCTCCAAGAGCTTGATACGGGTAAACACGCAGAAATTTCAACGATATATATTTTTGATTCTTGAGTTTATTGGTACATTCAATTTTTGTGGAATATTGAAAGTATTCCGAGTGCCAGGTCTTCTTAGACTACACCTTCGCAGCTTTTGAGCGCTCAAAGTCTTCATATCTAGTTCAACAGCTTGGACTAATGGAAATTTTGTGTAAAGCTACAAACCGATCCTCCATCTCCTGCATTTGCATTCACTCCTTCAACAATGCCTTCGAGCCATGTTTTTTTAAACCTGAAGCGTTTATTAGTCATTTACTTTTCATTTACCTACTCACAAACTTCATAGAAACGAAGCTTTGATGACCACAGGAAAACACATGACTCAAGAGTAGATACTGCATAACCTTAGATGGCAAGAAAAGGCAATCCGCTTATAAGTTGCTCAATATCTGACTCAAAGCCTAAAGTTTCCAACACTGAAAGAACGGGAAGAAACTATACCAGATGTGTATCGAGGGACCTTCCAATGGCTATTTGACGACGCACATAGCTCTGCGCCGTGGACTAGTTTTGTGCACTGGCTGCGAAATTGCTCCGGTATATATTGGATCAATGGGAAAGCAGCTTCGGGTAAATCAACATTGATGAGGTTTATATGTAGTCACAATACCACAAGGGAGCTTCTGCAGCAATTGTCCGCTTCGCTGCCCCTGGTTATGGCAAAGTTTTACTTCTGGAACAGTGGTACTATTGAGCAAAGGTCGCAGCATGGTCTACTTCGAGCACTTCTTGCAGAGATCCTGGGACATTTTACCGATATTCTTCCTGTCTGCTTCCCTACAAGGTGGGCTAAGATCTACAATGATTTAGTAAAGCCTTTTGCTAAGCAAGTTACAATAATCAACCGACGGAGATGGAACACTGGGGTTTAAACGAATTAGACGCTGCAATGCGCATCCTCATTAGCCAAGACATGCACAGCTTCAAACTTTGTCTGTTTGTTGATGGTCTTGACGAATATGAGGGACAACCTTCAACTATTGCCAAATATCTCAGTATGCTCGCCCAAGTACCATGGCTGAAGATATGTCTTTCCAGTCGTCCGCTACTTGAGTTTGATGATGCTTTCGGATCTGGACCGTCATTGAGACTGCAGGACTTGACGCAGACCGATATTGATCATTTTGTCAAGTCAAGTCTCCGAAATAATGTCAACTACCAACAATTATGCGTGAAGCAGCCAGTCCAAGCGTTAAGCCTCATCGAAAAGATTATATCGCGAGCAGACGGGGTTTTCTTGTGGATTAAGCTTGTCGTACAAGAAATTGAAAGAGGCCTCGCCAATAGAGATCCTCTCCAAGATCTACAGGAACGTATCGGAATATTTCCACTGGACCTCGAAGAATTGTTTTCCTCAATGCTTGACAACATTGATCCGTTCTATATCAAGAAGTCTGCATTGATATTTCTCATTGTACGAGCCGCATATATACGCTGGGGAGGCGTCAGGAGATTGGATACCTTGACTCTTTCCTTTTCTCTCGATTATTGTACTTCCTGAGCCGAGGATATCACATTCAACTTGCAGGAGCTACAAATTAGAAACAATAAAATTCGAGATCATTTAAAAGTAAAGTGTACAGGCTTGCTCGAGATTGGGCTGGGGTATTCTTCTGGTTTTGATTATCTTGGCTATCGGGTCATGTACTTGCATCGTAGCGTCCGAGAATATCTTGAACGCCCAGGAATACGTTCAAAGCTCTTCAAACACGTTTCAGAAATGGACTTTGAGCCATGCACTCCGCTTATGTGCTCATATGTAAGACAGCTTGAATTTTTCGAAGCTCGGAAAAAGATATTGAATGACCGTTCCACACTTTCACTCTTTATGACAACAGTCCTTCATTACGCTCATGAGGCTGACATTGCAGGTTCAGATACTTATATCGAGCCTTTGAAAACATTTGCAAAATTGACACACGCTTCCAGGATCAAAAGCAAAATCTGGACACCGAAGGATTTCTCCTCTTTCCTGCACATTGCGGTAAACTGGGACCTTTGTGCATACGTCAAGTTGAATTTGAATCTCCTCGCTCCAAAAATAAGAGCTTCCATCGTCCACACTCTTTTGCCATATGCCCTTGCAGCAACAGACGAGTATTATATTCAAGGCATGGAACAAAGGGAGAATTCAGAATATCTTCGAGATCGCATTCCTCCAAGCCCTCGCATGGTAAAACTGCTCCTGGCACATGGAGCTCAACCTAACAGAAAAATGAAAGACTTCTCGGCAATTCATGAATGGACCGCATTTGAAATAGCCATTCGCAATGTCTGTGCAATTCTTCCAAGAGTGGACGCAAATGGCTCCTCGCAGGAATATTCAAAGGAAGAAAAATCCTTGGTGTGCAATCATTTGGAAATTGTCAAAGTTATGCTGGATTATGGAGCGGATTTGAACACATATCTGAATTACGAAGGAAGAGCAATCATGCCGAGAAGATTGTTAACCGAGACTATGAGAAAATACTGGAGAAGAAAAGAGTCGGATGTGCATCAAATGTTTGAAAAAAAGGGTGGTAAATTGGAATTGTCGATGATTAGGAAATTGATGACTAATTACTAGTTGAAATTTTTGAAATGGCACAAATTATCTAAGAATACAGTAATGTCAGCATTTGTTCATGATCAAGGGAGGACACGATAAAGATGCTGGCTTGCAGCTGAAAGATTGCCAGTCACTACATACTTGAGCTAAGGGTAAATAAAATTGGTAAAATGTTATCACCATAGTGCATACTTAAATGCGTACTTTGAGGTGATTTGAGCATAGTCCGTGGTATAATTTCGTGCTCTGGGACGGATTTGTCGACATTTATTTGTCTTTATATTTTGGAATGCCTCTGCTGTAGGAACCTATTCTGTCCTTTTGAACTCAACTCGTCTTTTTCGTATGCCTTTGATTTTCAGCTTCATCGAGCAGCTGGGTGGTGAATTTCTTCGGAAAAACGGGCACACATATTAGTCTCTATTTCGTTTCGAGCCAACCATGTAAGTTTAACCTCAAATTCCTCAAATTTAATTTCTTTCAACATCCTATTTAAACAACAACAATCCCGCCTCCTCAATTGTGCAAGTCCATAAACAGCAACCAAAGAAAATGAATTTTCTAGATTTAGCATCCGAGCTGATCCACGAGATTTTGCTTGAAGCCGCCCTCAAACGATCGCTGAGTGGAAAAGTCGTTAAGACTTCAGCTTGTCTGCAGTAAGTTTGGTCTTATATTAGCCATCACATGTTCTCCTAAGCACCTCAAAGGATTCAATGATAAAGCTATCAGGGATCTCCGCGGAGGTCTGGAGAAGCATACTCATCTCGGAAATCTGGAAATAGTGAGGTATATCCTTGATGGAGGAATCAAGATTCACGACTGGCTCGGCGGACCATCACTAGAAGCAGCTTGCAGGGAAAATCATGAAGATGTCGTTGATCTTCTACTTGAGCGTGGTGCCAACTTAAACGTCTATTACGAGAGAAAAGAAAGATTGGGATGGCTAGGAGATCAAATACTATGCGTAGGAGCTGAAGGAAGCGATTTGCGAATTGTTCGCAAGCTCCTTGATCGCGGAGCTACTTTATTACAAATATGGAAGAATGACTTAGCGCTAAGATGGGCGGTGTCGAGAGAGGATAGGGTTATGCTGAAATTCCGTTGGCCTTAGAGGCTGATCTAGGATAGTTAATTACATAATACCAAGCCAAAGCCCACAGAAATACCCGCCTAAGCATATTTTCCTTCTTGGATTCTGAGAAATCCAATGGTTGATCATTGATACTGAAAAAGAACATCGATTAACAATATTGTATAATTCTAGCTTCAACAGTCATTCTCGATCATGTTGAGTGGGTGCGCCTAAAATGTGAATAGTCAGCATTTATGTAATCAACATCACTAGCTCAAATCTCAAATTTAACGACATGCCTTCCAAAGAATTAGAATTGATGCAATCTTGATGAATATCCAGTAGTAAGGTAGATACAAAGCATCATTGCTGAACTGTATCACTGTCTGAAACTACCGGAGGATTCGAAGTCCTCAAAGTGTCCGCTGTATCCTCAATCCAATTCATTGAGCTTACCGAACTCAAGACGCTGGCAATCATCGATTTCCTTTGATTATATGGCCAATCGTGCGACTGTTTTCAGGCCAAAACTGGTTCAAGTTCTGCGATTAGCTTCTAACTAAACGGTTTGTATATCCACCAACTCTCATCTTGCATGTTATTTTCTGTGCCTCCAGTCTCCGCACGAGACATTGGCAATAGTAATGGACATCATGTGCCACTGTGGCTAGTACCACTACTACCTTCACTTCTAAGGGGGTCTTCACTTGTTCAGATGAGTATTCAGAATCCGACCAGTCAGAAGCTGATCGCAAAATCAGGAGAAGCCTGCTGCCTTCCAGGACAAATCCTTTCTAGCATCTCCCTTCTATTCCAAACACTAAGCAGGGATCGATTGTTCAGATATGCAACATCATTCCCTCAAAAGCTATTCACTTAGCCGTTTCAAGCCACCATCGCAGCCTTAAAACCTTAGTTTTTCTTTTGTTGCATATCTTAAATTTCAACGCAAGGGTGGTTGGCTCTGGAAGAGCGCAATGGAGAGCAAAAGAGACCCAAGCTTTGCGCTCGTTAGTCCATTGGTCAAATCTTAGACTTTAAAACCTTAAATTCTTTAGTTGCATATCTGAAATTTCAAGCATGGGGATAGTTGGCTCTGGGGGAGCGCAAAAAGAGCAAAAGAGACCCAAGCTTTGCGCTCGTTAATCCATTGGTTAGATCTTGCCTTAGAAAATCTTATCAGATCATAGTTGGCGTTGGAGTTCCATCATTGCCGGCCCATGGATTCACTTTCAGACAACGATACATCAAGCCCAAGTCCGCGGAATCCAGCAACGCATGCACCTTAACTGACACATCAACCCTATGCTCAACGAATTCCTCAACGGAAAGGTTCTCCTCGAATACATCGACAGCATCATTGTTCAAATATGCAACAGGAGCCGCCTCACCTTATATTCAGTGTCGCAATCACGAGGAGAATTCGAGGTGAGGGAATTGTTGCATATCTGAAAAACATTGAAATTGACGTAATCGAGTTGAGGTATCCAATGGCTGTGCGAGCGCAAAAAGATCGATAACAGAGAGTTTAAGGGGGGAGAACCACTATATTAATCGGCGGATTCCTATGCGCTGATGGAATAATGATTATCTGGTGATAAGACTAATTTATTAAATTTCGGACATCATCATCTTAATCCTGGGAAGTCCCACTTCTAGGATCTCCATTGAACATGAGGGATTCCTTTGAATTAAGAATCGGCATTTATAAAACTCTTGCAGGGCAACAGCAGATTCACTTGCAGGCCGAGCTATAGCTGGGAAGAGAACAACGCTATCACGTATTTAATCCACCAGGTCACACAGAAAGTCGCCTTTATCCCCTAAGCAATTTAATACTCGTCAGGTCTCCGCGGATGATCATTCTTTGTAGAGCCGGATGGATTATGTGGAGCCTTTTCCCCCTCCTCTTTCGTCTTAATTGTGTGCTAGTTTGGTAGTCTGAGTTATCTAGTCTATTCTTCTCCTTTAGAAAGGTAATTAGTATGCTATTATGTCACACGTTGAAAAGTGTATGATGGTAGTGTTAAGCTAGGGGTGGGGAAAGAGGGGATAGTGGTCGACCAAAACTCCTCGCCGAAAGGATTGTTATTGTAGATGTAAAGAGGGTTATCTTGTTATTGGTGCTACGAATCATGATTATATAGTAGGGCCCACAATCATCGTACTTGCCATATTAGGCCGAACACCATCTGCGATTAACCAAGCCTAAAAAACTACTCATAATCTTAAAATCTAAATAGTTATAACATTAACCCAGTTAGCAAGCCACCAAGTTTGTTAGTAATGTCTGGACCGAATTTATATAATCTGTACTCCGATAGACTTCGAGTTTTGTATAAAAGCGTCGTTGTCACCATCATTCTATCACTTATTCATTCATTACCATTTTTAGAATAAAAAAGACACAAAATGTCAGTTCCATCCACTTCCACACTCATATTCACAATTGTCACAGTCACTAAAATCTTATATGAAATCTTACTAACTATATTAAGCACCGTCCAGCCTTAATCCCACCACGTATACCGCCGATGTAACATGGAGCTCTCTAGCCAATGCCGCATAATCCACATGTTTCTCTTGCACATCGCTCACAAGCAATTCATCAAATATAACCACATCAACCACATCAAACATGACCAAAACTAAAACCCACTCGGCTTTTTGGTGGAAAGCTGTAATAGCTCTTGGAATCATAGCGCTATTTCATATGATCAGGTTCATTATTGTCAGTAGCGGTTTCCGCAGAGAATGAAAATAATCCATAGATAGTGTTCCTCCATACCGGCCGATACCCCGATAACATAGTCGAGAACGAAAAAAAGCATGCAGAGGAACAGGCTGAGAAAGGGAAAGAGTTTGTGGAGGAATGAGCCGAGAAAGAAAAAAAAAAACCTGCGGGGGAACAAGCTGAGAGAGAAGAAATAGCGGCCAGGAAGGAGAAAATGGAGCAAGGGCTCTCCCAGAGAGATCTCGACAGAGCCTGCACCTACCGTTTTCGTAAACGAGTCTTGGGTCTTGAATTGCTGGAAGAAGAAAAGCTATACGAGGCAGAAAATTATGCGAGGATCCCAGAACCAAAAAGTCCCAACATGAAGAAGTCGGATATGGCGTCCTTTTAGTATTTCTTGAGGGAATATGAGAATAAATACGAGGAAATGGGAAGGGAGATTAAAATTATGATTGAGGAGGACGAGATAGAGTTTGGAAAAACTCTAGCAGCTGTCGAGTTCCGTAGGTGAATGGAAGAGGAAATAAATAATTTTGTGGCTGATGAAAGGATTGGGATTTATTCGTCTCGTTTTCATTTTTAGGTACAATACTGAAATAAATTATTTCGGTACACAAAAACGCTTCAATCAATGCCCAAACTGAGTTCGGACAGTTAGTAATTTACAATCACGTAGGTCAAATGATTGAAGTTCTTGAAGATATCATGTTATTGAAATATTGAACTTGTGTAACTCAGTAAATTCAACGAGATAATTAAACTATTGTCAAGAAAGACATCTCGTCGAAGATCGAAGGTTAAAATAGCTTCTGATCTAGACTAATACATTAAGAAAGAAGATTTGTACTCGTCAAAGTACTCAGGATGTCTTCGAGTCCTTGACTACTCTCTTAGCCTCAAAGTCTGCAAGATCACATTTCAGCAGCTCCACCATAGACTCGAGTCCTTTATCGGTTGCATATTTTAAACTGCATCGTCTAGCGTATAAAGATATAACACCCGATCCGAGAAGAAATCGCACTATTTCCGTATATTCGTATGTGACCGCATAGCGTAATGCAATATCCCCTTTCATCGGATGATTTAAACGAGCACCGTGATTGATCAGCCTTTGAACGATGGATAGACTCCCCGCCTTAGCTGCCATACCCATCGCACTATGAAATGTCTCCTTATGATAGCTAATAGGCGCATGACCGAGCCTATGTTCCCAGGATCTAAGTTCGGAGGCTGTGATATTGAGAGGAAAATCTGGTTCAGCACCTCGCTCTAGTAAGAGATCTACGATTTTTTCTTGTCCCCCACGGCAAGCTTCAACCAATGGTACGCAGGATGAAATCCCACGAATATCTATGCCTGAATCGAGGAGAAATCGAACCATTTTAATGTTTCCTATTCGAGCGTGTTTCCCCAGCATAGAAGCACTCGAATGAACACTGGCCTTCTCTCCAAGTAAGTCCCCAAGATATTCGTTTACTTCAACGCTATGTGCACGATCTTTACCACAAAGAATCCCCTTGAATGTGCTCAGATCCATAGGCCCAGTTATGCGAGTTCCATTGGTCGGATATATAGTTGAACGCAACAATTTTGTATCGTCTAGCATTGCGGCACCTTCGATAAATTGTTGTTCAATGCTGTCTATCATTCCTCGATTCCAAATTCTTCGGGTAACACTATTGTCCACTCCTTTCGATTCAGGGGAGTGTTGATGAATATAATCTCGGAAAAGTTCAAGTATATGTGTATTTCCTGCCACCTAAACATCAGAGAGTTAGTAACTATTTTAATTGAAAGGCATTGTGTAAACGAGGGCTATTAATAAGAAGGTGCCGAATTGGAAATGAACATAGTTGAGTCTGAGGTTGAAGAATATGCTTACCGTGGCAAGAATTATAGGTGAAGGAAAGAAGGTTGTATTCCCGTCTTCAAAGCAATCATCAGCTTGAAGTAGCCTTCTCGTCACGGGAACAAGATTAAGGTACGCTGCAGCGCTCAAGAGATCCCGCTCGAGGTTGTATGACAATCGTCCAGATTCTCTAATGGCATCGGAGAAGTGGTGTGCCTGGTACATTGCTGGCCAACAAAGAGCTTCAATTGTCGTTTTGAGGTCGATGCCAGTCTCCTCACAGATACGTTCCGCAATCATGCGCATACGGCTTATCACATGAGAGTTGAGATGCGAACGGTTTTCGGTGTTTAAAGTCCGCTGAACGAAGTATGAATGCCAGAATTTGGCGCGTTCACAATGATTCCATTCCAGTCGCGTCATAGACCCTAAAAGGCCCTCGTCCAATAGCTGCCGTTGGAAAAGCACAAATTGAACTTGCTGAGAGAATTGCTCTGGTGCTTGTTAGTGGTTGATAGATTACAAGGATTAAAAAGAAACAGAATCTAAACTCACTGCATACTAGCCTAAGTCTTAAAGCTCTTGTTGGTGAGCGGACGAGTACAGCCTGGAGCAGAATCATTTGGAAGAGCTCAGGAGGAAGATTTAACAGTAGCGTCATTTTAGAGATAATGAAAACTTTGGACTTCAATAGTATCTGGCTATCCTGTGCAGAATATAGTCGTGCTTGAAGTAGTTGTTTCTTATTATTGCAGGTTTACCTCCTTAGAGTTCTTGTTGTAGGTTTTTGCAATTGTAGAGAGGTTTTGGTTGTGGAATATTATATAAATGTTGTTCGCTTAGAGTTGCGATCTGATTGGTTGAAAATGCGAGTCAGGATCTGAGTATTCTAATTGGTAATAATTCAGATCGGGAGAAAGCCTTGGTATTCAAAATAATTTCTGTGTATAAAGCTAATAAGATAGTATAAATATTGATATATAATTATTAATTAATATTTTAAATACATTTGATTTAAAATTTGTAATCTATTTATTTTATTTAATTTATTTGTGACGGAAACCCCTGCTTTCCTCCCACCCTTATTATATAAGAAACCTCAGGTACATTAACCATGTCCACACATGATACGATTACTCGGGATTAGTATACGATTTAGGTGACCTGAGGATCAGATCCGGACAAGTACTAGGTATCAATGGTTATCGGTAAAGTAAGATCATTGGAGGGATGAATATGACTTCTTTTTGCCTAGCCATTGCGGCTAGGCCATTCATTTGTGTATATATAGAGTAGCTATTCCCATCTACAGGTGCTCTTCACCTGTAGATTCTAAGTTAAATACAATTGCTGGTCTATAAACACCCTTTTGGTCACATTATTATAATTATTATAAATAATTTTAAAGAATTTTAAAGAGTTTTACTTATAATTTTTATTCTAAATAAATTTTAAAACTAATAATAATAATAATAATAATAAATTGAGAATTTGTTAGATAAATCTTTGTTTTGGTTTTATACAGATATGTAAAGATACTGTACTGAAGGCAGCGGCTGTCTAAGGTTTCGTCTGGTTGGTAGTTGTGGGTTAAGGCTTTATCACTGGTATTCACTTGGAAGTGAATTCGTTACTAGATCAAGTAGAATGTAGGTAAACTAATTGATAACTAAGTTGAGCACGAAGCTCCTAAACTATAAAACTACTCTGACTATATAATGAACGAAGAAGGGAGCCCCCAGGAGCTTTCTGGCTCCTCAGGGCTCCTGGAGCTCTAGGAGCTTTGAAGGCTCCTAGGGCTCCTTATCACGTGATTCCTTTTAGATCCCAGGACACTAATCCTAATGGCGAATCGTGACAAGATATTAAATGTGACCAAAAGGGTGTTTATAGACCAGCAATTGTATTTAACTTAGAATCTACAGGTGAAGAGCACCTGTAGATGGGAATAGCTACTCTATATATACACAAATGAATGGCCTAGCCGCAATGGCTAGGCAAAAAGAAGTCATATTTATTCCTCCAATGATCTTACTTTACCGATAACCATTGATACCTAGTACTTGTCCGGATCTGATCCTCAGGTCACCTAAATCGCATACTAATCCCGAGTAATCGTATCATGTGTGGACATGGTTAATGTACCTGAGGTTTCTTATATAATAAGGGTGGGAGGAAAGCAGGGGTTTCCGTCACATTAAATCAGTAATTTATTGATTTTACACTTTTATAAAACAATATTCAATTATAAATAAAGTTTAAAAAACCTTAGATGATAGAATCCAAAATAAAGAAGTAAATACAAGCTCAAAATAATAATCTAACAAATCCTATTTTTATAACAACTGCCGATGAGCTTTTGTGGTTGAAATTCTGATAAGAATACCTAGTCCTGGTGTCACGGGTTCAACCCGTTCTGGTTAGCCTATATGGACGCATATAGCTTCCACAACCTATATAGTTAATGCTCCTCCTAGCACCTTCTTTCCTTCCTTGTAGAATACTATCTTACTACCTAGAGACTTATCTGTCACCATGATACCTGGTGAGCTCCCAAATGTTGAGTCGATTTTATTAGACTGGATCCTTATTTTTGATATGTGCGCACCTGCAACTTGGCCTACTTGGTGCTTGCTTATTAATCAACATCCAAGTTTCTTAGGTAAGTAGAAATGATTCACCGGCGCGAAGCTACGCCAAAATTCAAAGGGCTTTTATCAGACAACAATAAAGTTCTTGAATTCATGTTTGGATATATTGGCTGGCAAATTTAGTGGTTCTTCTTTCCTTAAAGTTCTCTCATCTGAACTGCATTTCCTCAAACAATCGCCCAATCAACAGTATTGTTAATGGTGTATCACGACGAAATCAGATCCAGGTATCATCAACCCCTTCTAGGGTCGTTCTTTCTCGGACGATGAGATAGCGGAGAGCAATATATACGAAAATAATCCCAGCAAGAATCCGAATCACGAGAGTAGAAAAAGAAAAATGCCTCCGAAAACCAGGGGAAGACCAAAGGGAAAAGGAAAGGCGACAAGTCAGAATGCGGTCCCAGATGTATATCGAGATATGTTGGTAGAAGCCATACCAGCCCAATTAGAAGTCCCTGAAAGACCTTTGAAAAAACGAAGAATTGGATTACGAGGTGCCGCAGCTCCGGCATCAGAATCAGGACCATCGAAAGCTTCTGTGGCGGGGTCACATGACATAGCGGAAGATGAAGAAGATGAAGAAGTGGAATTTGAGGATGTTATCACGGCATCAAAGAGTCTCAATGGTGAAGATGAAGATGATGATACTAGCATACCTCAACAAACTGCGTATAGAGATTCAGATGAAGAGACCGACGAAAGCGATGTTGATGATGAAATTGATTGGGAAAACATTAATTTCAACGCGAAAGATGATGAACCATCAGGAGATTTAGAATTAACTCTCACTAGACCAGCACCTCAACTTCAATCCACTACTCCTAGGCGTAAAGCTCTCACTCAAGGGGATAAAGCCTACCGGTTGGAGATTCATAAATTACATCTTTTATGTTTGTTATCACATATCCAGATGAGAAATGAATGGTGTAATGATCCCGTAGTTCAGGATTCTCTAAGACCACTTTTGAATAGGAAGGTACTGTCATTCCTGAGACCGAGGAAAGATTTATCGCAATTTAGTCAAGCAGACTCGTTGAAGAGGGGTTTGGAAATGGTAGCTGTACTATGGAGAACTAAGTTCCAAATTACGAAGAGGGGAATGAGAAGAGCTTTGTGGGCGGATGATGAAGAAAATATTAAAGATGTAGGTCTCGCACGTTGATGGATGATACCAGTCCTAATTGGAAAACGAATAGTATAAATTACCTGATGATGCCGATTCTTCGTATGAAAAGGCAGATTTTAGGAAAGCGGCAACCGAGCTGAAAGGCTCCAGAGATGTAGGAGCACAGCTATTTTGTGCATTATTACGAAGCGCAGATGTTGAAACCCGCCTGATCTGTTCACTACAACCCCTATCTTTCACCACTGGTGGTCCATCCATGCCTAAACCACCTAAACCTAAAACAAAACCGATCATCCAGCCGCCACCCATTCCATCACCGGTTCCCAGCACCTCAACTCTCCTTTCTAATCCACGCAGCCGCCTCGGACATCCAGGGGCTTCCTCTTACCATCTACCCCAAATACCATCTGCACCCTTACCCCCACCAACCCCAAAAGCAAAACCCATCCGTGAATCCCCTTTCCCAATTTTCTGGCTCGAAGTCCTCGACTCTGCCCACCAAAAATGGATTCCCATCGACCCCCTCGTCACAGAAACCATCTCCAAACCCCGCTCTTTTGAGCCACCCCTAACAGACAAAGAAAATGCTCTCTCCTACGTTCTTGCATTCTACGCCGACTCCTCTGCTCGTGACGTAACCCGTCGTTACGCCAAAGCTCCCAATTCTAAAACCCGCAAGCAACGCGTTGAATCTGTTCCTGGTGGACAAAAATGGTGGGGCAAAGTCCTTTCTCATTATTCACGCGGTTGGAAGACAGATGTGGAACAGATTGAGGATGGGGAATTGACGGCGCTAGAAGGACGAGAACCAATGCCAAAAAATGTGCAGGATTTTAAGGATCATCCGGTTTATGCACTTGAGCGTCATTTACGTAAGAACGAAGTTATTGTTGCGGAAAGGGAGAGTGGAAAAGTCGCCACTGGGAATGCAGGTGCTAGTGGTGGAAGCAAGAAATTGGAGAACGTATATCGAAGGAAAGACGTCCATATTTGTAAGAGCGCAGATGCATGGTATCGACTCGGACGAGAAATCAAAATGGGCGAACAACCCGCCAAGATCGTACCCTCCAGAAACACAAGAAGAAATAACGATTACGCGGACGAAGAGGAGAACCAAGAAAGACCGGGCACAAATCTCTATACCCAATCCCAAACAGAGCTTTTCATCCCACCTCCAATAGTAAATGGTCGCGTCCCCAAAAACTCCTTCGGGAATATAGATATATATGTACCCTCCATGATCCCCGAAGGTGGTATTCATATCCTAGCACCAGAATCAGTGTACGCGGCGAAATTACTGGGGATAGATTTTGCGGCTGCGTTGACGGGATTTGAATTTAAGGGAAGACATGGAACTGCGGTTTTGAGGGGGATTGTGGTAGCGGGAGAGTATAAGGAGGCGATTGAGGTTGTGGTGGAGGAGATAAGGGAGGAGAGGGGGAGAGAGATGGAGGAGGAGAAGAGGGAGAGGATACTGAGGGCTTGGAGGAGGTGGTTGTTGGCTTTGAGGGTTAAGGAGAGGGTGGATGGGTATTTTGTTGATGATGGGGATGAGGGGGATGGGGAGGATGAGGAGGAAGGGGGAGTTGAATCAGAGGAAGGTGGGTTTGTGAGAGAGGATAGGGAGGAGGGAGAGGGAGAGGGTGGATTCGTGAAAGAAGACAAGGATGCAGATGAGGGGGAAGAAGGTGGATTTGTGAAAGAAGATGAAAATATGGAGAGTGATGTGAGCAGTGAGTTGAGCGATACATTTACAGATGATGAGTATGATGATGAAATGGGTGGGGGATTTATTCCAGAATAGGGTTATATATAAGAACAAGCAAGATAGATAAGGTATTCGTTATTTTTATATAACCAAATTACATTTCCTGATTACAATTCATATGTATACTTGAAGCCCTCCCTTCCGCTGAATGCAGTCCTTTGATTCCAGCAACAAGCTCCAAATTCTCAACTGTCTGAAGCAAATGATCCCACACAATTGAAGACTCATTGATGTATCCCACCCATCCGATCCCATTCCCCTATTGTACGAGAAATTCCTACCAGAAAACCAAATGACCTAGTTATACACTCCAATGCCTCCCACACCCCCTACTCCTTAATTCCCATAACCCAAGTCATATAGCCCGTCGGCCACGTATGTCTCTCCCTTCCACTCGACACCTTCCACTCCTGCGTATCAACCCCACTCCTCCTCATCAGTGCCTCCACTTCGTCCGCACTCCTCGTCCTCAACGAACTAATAATCCCATCAAACACCAATACGAATGGGATAATGGGAATAATATATGTGAAAAATAGATGGCCTGGTGAACGCCAGAAATAAAAGGGAGTTATGCCGAGAATCATTATGCCCATGGCAAACATGGTGATTAGGGAGGAGAAGGTACGTTCTTGGAGTTCGAATATACTGATGCGGGGGTTAGTTTAATGTTATATTGATGGATGTGAGGAAGAGTATCAAAAAGAGTAGAACGTACCCAAAACCATCGGCGGTGTCAACCGTGTTCTTCAATATCTTACTCCCTAACTCGTCATCGAAATGATGAAAGGCTAGATTATATAGTCTGAACACCTTGGTCTCTCCATTGACACCATTGACATTCTTCAATAGATTTCTTGGCGCATTCGCTGCATCGACAGATTCAGATATAAAATTGAGATTCTCGCTGCGTTTTGAAGCTTCCGTCCAGTCCGGGATATGTGGATGTAAATCTGTTAATACAAATTGTACTTTTTGATGTTTATCATCCGCATTAACAGGATGCGACGATCGTTGTTTAAGTCCATTGATTTCGTCTTTTGGCGCGGCTGCAACCTCGGCGTAGGAAACTTCAGGCGTGGCTACCGATGAGGATTTTGATGGGTTGGAGGGGAAAGAGGTAGAGGTTGAGGAGTTCAATTGCTCATTCATGTACACCTCAATGTAGGGCGTGGGACCACCGGCCCCGGCACAGAAATCTACATAAGTGTAGGATGTAACTTTATCTGAGAGGGCTCGAGAAAGGGTTGTGGCGACTAGTTGGGCGGGAGAAGAGGGTTGGATAATGGGGACTCGGAAGGTCCAGCAGAGGGTAAGACAGGATTGGACTTTTTCGCGGAGGTATTGAGGGAACCTGGGTGAGGAATTGATGTTAGTTGAGAAGAGAGAAGAGAAGTTGAAGGATTGAAGCAGATGTGGATGTGTGGAGCTTGGAGAGCTTGGAGAGCTCGTCTTGAGCTGCTGCAAGGGCAACGAACCAGTGTTGATCATTGATCTCGAAGAAATGAATTCGGGGACAAATAAGCACCATTTTTCTTTTCTTCTTTACCGTATCTTCAATTCGAATATGTGGATTTTTCACAATAGAGAAAAAAATCTGTAACTGAAAAGTATCAAGTAAGTAATAAATGGATGTCGTGTCTATCTAGAATCTGAAACTTGAAGCTTTATCTGTGGTATTTATCCTAATGACGTTAGCACACGAAGCATAATTGGTAGCAAATGAAATCCTGCTTCCTTCATTCCTTTCTTATGCATATTGCATCACCACATTTTTCACGAGCTTGATTTCTTTGTCCTACATTAATTGACGAGTTAAAATGTATTCATTGATAATTGTATCGATTGTTCTCGCGGTTTGTTTGGGGATTTCTCTATGTAATGGTTCGAAGATTAGGAAGGACGGGAAGGCTTTGAGGTGAGTGGAGCACGGCATATCACGAACATGCCACGAAATCACGAGTTTTTGCTTGGGATTTACATGACTTCAAGATTTTGCACGAGTGTGCATTCATTTGTTCTTGTGATATTTTGATGTCTTCTTGGACATATATATGCATGATACACATCTACTCTCCATTTACGGAGTGCAGCAATCTCATTCGTAACTAACGACCTATCCAGACGACCACCAAATACATTACCAGTTGTTGGGAATGGTATTCTCTTCCTTCAAGACCGCCACAAGTTATTTTCCTGGTTCGTGAAATGCGAACGGAAATTTGGACTCGAGACATTTGAGATTTCAGTCCCATCATTACCACCTGGTGTGGTAATAAATGATCCAAAAAATCTCGAGTACGTAATGAAGAATGAGGGTATCTTTGCTAAAGGAGATTTCTTCAAGAGAAGATCTTGGGATTTATTTGGTGGGGAATTTATTACTATATTTCCTTTCGTGTGGAGATACTAAGAGTGCTAGGAAATGGTATCATCAATGCTGATGGAGATTTATGGAAAGTACAGCGAAAAGCTGGTTTGAATTTCCTCAATGTTGCAAATTTGAAAGTTCTTACCGAGGTTGCTCTTCCACGGTATCTTGGAGAGACATTGGACCAGCTTAGATTGAAAAAAGGCAAGGTTGTTGATTTGGGAGCTGTGTTTCATGAATTAACTACGAAGCTTATGGGCAGGATGGCATACGATGTAAGGATATTAATTCTCAAACTCGTCACGATTCCTCCACTAAAGGTTTTTAGATGGATATGCGTTCCGGTGATCCATTCTCATTAGCGTTTGAATACGCATCTGGAGCTACTGGTGAAAGGTTTCAAAACCCTCTTTGGCCTATCACAGAAATGATATTTGGTGGTCGTTTTAGATCATCAATAGCAAAGGTTAAAGCATTTGGTGCTGAAATCGTGTCGAATGCTGTCAAGGCTAGGCAAGAACAAAAGAAAAAGGGTGTTGAAAGAAGCTCCATAGATTCTATCTCTGGTAGTTTGATCAAGTCTCTATTGGATTCAATTGATGATCATCAAATGGTAGCTGACGCAGCTCTGAATTATCTTTCCGCTGGTAGGTTTTGCATTCAATGAACTATTTGCTTCTTCATTAGCTAAAAATTTCAGGTCGTGATACTACTGCACAAGCATTGACTTGGGCCTTTTATCTTCTCATGCGACATCCAAAAGTCATGGACAAAGTACGGCAAGAAATAGTATCTCTGAATAACGACGATCCACATAGCGACTCAACATCATACCAACCTATAGTCGTTCCATATGTCATGGCTGTTTTCTATGAAACCTTAAGACTTTACCCACCGGTGCCTTTTGAAATCAAGCAATGTGAGCAATCGACCACATTACCTGATGGAACATTTCTTCCAAAACACGCTGTACTTCTTTGGTGTCCATGGGCAATGAACAGATCCAAATCAACTTGGGGTGAGGATGCCGATGATTTTAGACCTGAGAGATGGTTAGAAGATGGAGTACTGATTTCAAAGCCTGCTTTTGAGTATCCGGTATTTAATGGAGGACCACGTACTTGTCTAGGAAAGAAGATGGCAGAAAGTGTGGCTGCACAAGTAATTGCGACCCTAGCGGTCAATTTTGATTTCTCTCCAATTGATCAGAAAGAAAGAATTAGTAAGAATAGTCTTACTTTACCAATGGAGGGTGGTCTGCCGTGTAGAGTGAATGACTATCTTAGCTCTGCATGAATTACGATTCCTGTTACGGGTCCTTGGAGGGCCTTTTAAGCGAATAGGATTGCAGAAATTAACGTTGGCGATTGTGACAACTATTCGGATTCAATAATGGATTATAAACATTCCATTTCTAACTAACTGATCTTTTCCGTGTTTGAACTATTCTTATCCAATCACCTAGCTTGCAATATCTTTGGCAAGATGTCGACATGAAAGGCTTTACACCTTTTAATTGATTAAATACCGTGGTATAATGAATGGACAGGTATTCTCAAGGATGCTCTAAATCCCTTCGTCCATTTCCTTGTTCAAATTTCTACCAATCAAAAGCACAGAATCTCAAATCACCGTCATATAAGCTGATGACAAAGACGAAAGAATGCAAGTCGCGGCTGTTTTCGGATTCGATAAACGTCAGTAAATCTATACTTTTCATATATACATACATAGTTCAAGCATGCGTTGCAGAACATACCCCGCAATTCCTGGCTTAAACGTATATATCTAGCGACCATGAGCCACATCATTGATCTTCATCTACTTGACATAATTACCAAACGGTGCTCCACAATGACTGCCATTCATTTAAATACTATAAATGCCGATGGCATCAATATATTCTACAGAGAGGCTGGGCCTCCTGAAGCACCCACTCTCCTCCTACTTCACGGATTCCCTAGCTCATCCCATCAATACCGCAATCTAATTCCTCTCCCCTCCAGAAAATATCACCTCTTAGCACAAGATCTCCCAGGTTTCGGATTCACAGAAATCCCCGAATCTCGAAACTATAAATACACATTCGATTCTCTAACCACATCCATCGAATCTTTCCTAAAAGAACTCAACATCGAAAAATTCTCCATCTACATCTTCGACTACGGCGCCCCCATCGGCTTACGTCTAGCACTCCGCCAACCCCAAGCCATCCAATCAATCATATCCCAAAACGGCAACGCCTACACCGAAGGGCTAGGAGAATTCTGGACGCCCTTCCAAAAACTGTGGAAATCCCAAACCCCCGAAGAACTAACCGCTGCCAACGAACCCATCAAATCCATCATCTCCCTCGACTCAACCAAATGGCAATACATCACCGGAACCCTCCCACCCATCTCCATAGAATCGCACCAGAATCCAATACCCTCGATTATGCCTTACTGTTGACCTCCTGGGATCTTGGCAGCATATGCATATATAGTACATATGCATATAAGGAGCAAACAAAACTCAACTTTTAATTCATTCTTTCCTTTTTGGTATACTGTTTGTTTGCTTTCAATATTTTGATTTCAAAGCACTTTAATTCCGAAGGCCGAATACCCAACCTATTCCTTCATTTTTTTGAATATATGCTCGCAGCTTAACTGCTTAGCTAGAGAATCAATCAATTCAATCTGATACTCTTTCTGGTCTTAAGAAACCCAACACTTACTATCGCGTCCTGGAATTGCAGATATCCAATTCGATCTTTTCTATGATTATCGTACGAATCTGGATTTATATCCGGAGTTTCAACGGTTTTTTAGGGAATCGAAGGTTCCTGTTTTGGCGGTTTGGGGTAGGAATGATGAGATTTTTTTAAAGGCTGGGACGGAGGCGTTGAAGAGGGATTGTGGGGATTTGGTGCTGGAGTTTTTGGATGCGGGTCATTTTGCGGTGGAGACCCATGGGGAGGAGATTGCGGAGGCGATTTTGAGGTTTAAGGAGAAGTTTGCACTTTAGTGAAAGAGTGGTTTGTGGTGGGAAGGTTGGGGTTTCTTTTCGTGGAATTTTTGGGTGGAATGGTGTTATTTGAATGTATTGTGCAAAGTTGCTTCAAATTGACTATTGATGCAGCACAGAGTAATATCTATTCATTATTAAGTATTCATTATTGATCATTTCACTGACAGAAAGAAACTTTTTTAATTCTAAAAATTGCTGAGCAGTGCGATGAATCCGAAGACTTCCCCAACAAAGTACACAGGCCTGGTATATCCGCCAATGTAACTTGTGATATTCCACAGTATTGGTGAGAGAGGATGTAAGAAACATGACGCGTGGTGTATCACGGTGTCTAGTTAATAGCGATGTAGAGAGGATTGCCACTGAGGACTACGTATAGATGTTACATATATATCATGTGGATGTATTTTTCTATCTTCTCTTTCTCGAGTATTTTGTTTGTCTTCTATCTCATGGTTCGGAATTATGCATATAGTGTGACTGATGCTTTTACAATTACTGAATTTATCATTTAAATCTGAATTCTGTTGTGGGATGCTTTTACTAGCATTATCAGTGTTGTGGATATTGGTAAAGGAATGATGGTCGGAAACATGAACTTAAGTTAAGATCTTTATAAGCTTATGGAGGTATTTTACAATGAACCTGAGAAAGTTGCACTCCAGGATACAAGGGGGAATGCAAACTGTAAGGTCGGATTATAAAGGATGAGAGTAATAGGAACATCTTCAATTTGAGGTGAGGCTTATCTGTATTCTAACACCCTGGAAAATCCAAATCCAATATACAGATAAATCTAGCATATATAGAAGATCCATCCTATTCCTCACATACACACAACCATCCCTCATCTCTCCCCTACATTCCACACACCTCCCCAAACATCCCACTCCACAAGTCGCTATCTCGGAACCTTACTCAGACTCTTCCTCCTCCGTTGCACTATCCCACAATGGAGAAGGATAATAACAATAAACCAGAAAATTCTCCTCCAAAGAATCCACACATTTATTTTCCTCAGCCACAGATTCCTTCCCAAAATTAACTATACTCTCTGAAGCAATAGCATTACCAGAATCTTGCTCTGGAGTTGGGATTCCCGTCAGAACAGATGCATCATCGTGATACTTTTCTTCGCAGGTTTTTGATACGATTGTGTATTGGGAGTCTTTTAATCCTCCCTTCTCGGCTTGGCTTTCATTTCCATATCTAGGCGTACGGTTCTGTTCAATGGATTTGGTCATTTTGTAAAGTGAGACTAGGATGTATATGAGGAGTCCAGTGCATGAGAGCAAACAGCCTATTTCAATCCATACTGTGATCTTTTGCATCGAGAAGTTGATTGTAGTTTTGTAGCTGTGGTCGGAAACCGTGTTTGTATCTGTGGTTTTGAGCATTGAGGCTGTAGCTGTTGCTGTGGCTGTAGGAATGGAGATCAAAGAACCGACGACTGATGGTACCGTGGGCTTAAATGTGGCGGTACGGAAGGGAAGTGGATAATGCACGGCGTATAACTCGTGGGATTGTAAGAAGTAATCGTTTGGTCTGGTAGGTGAAGTAGGATATATGTCCAATATGGCGATAATTGATGTAGAGAATTCAGAACTTGCAAGTGTTTGGTAGAAAAGAAATTCAAAAGAAATACAATTCTGTGGGATTCTTCAATACTATATATAAGAATAACTCTGGACTAAATTTAACTTTGAAATTTGACTCATTTCAGATTGTCTAGACATTAAGTCTGATACTAAGGATTCTAGTAGCATCCCGTGACATGACTATAACTTTAGACCGACAAAATCGTTACTTATCAAATCACCTTTTTAATAATAGAATCCTGTTCTTGACAGACTATGATTCGGACTATCGAAAACTTAGGATTTTGAATGAAGATCTCGATCTGAATCAGGCAAGGTGTAACGGTGCATGACAGAAAGGTGTGGTTTCTCTTTTCATCCTCCTTGTTACAATGATGACTTACCTTATATGATCATCACTTCTTGAACCTAATATCAGTAATTTGTTTATCTAAAATGTTACTGAAATAGACAAGCAGCCAGGAGAAGGATGATTGTGATTAAATCCCTCAAGTGAGCTGTACTGTGAACTTCAATTCAATGAATATCATAGTTAATAAGAGGGGTCGTAGAATTTTAGCGAGATAAGAATTGATCAATTCTTCGTCTATGAGACTTGTTACGACGGGCTACACAACTACCATTACATGACCAAGCCACGTGATCACAAGTGATCAGTAGTGATCATAGAAGCATGAAGGTCTATATAATCAAGATGGATTTCCTTTGTATAGAGCTTCGTGCTCAAGATCAATCATTTAGTATACTCTACTATTAGTTACGAATTGCATTATTGTCATTACTTTAAAGTCCCTGCTTGACGCCTAGTTATAAACCACCTCGAGAGCCTAGAGCACTTCCACGTGATCTAGACGGCAAACCTCGTAACAAGACTGTACAGTACTTGCGCACAGATAATGGCCGTTGTGTGACGGAAACCCCTGCTTTCTCCCACCCTTATTATATAAGAAACCTCAGGTATATTAACCATGTCCACACATGATACGATTACTCGGGATTAGTATACGATTTAGGTGACCTGAGGATCGGATCCGGACAAGTACTAGGTATCAATGGTTATCGGTAAAGTAAGATCATTGGAGGGACAAATATGACTTCTTTTTGCCTAGCCATTGCGGCTAAGCCATTCATTTTTGTATATATAGTGTAGCTATCCCCATCTACAGGTGCTCTTCACCTGTAGATTCTAAGTTAAATACAATTGCTGGTCTACAAACACCCTTTTGGTCACAAAAAATCAATAAACTTTTCAATATAATTTCTTAAAGAATCAAAATAATTATATTTAAATATTTTTAATCATTAAAAATCTTAAATATAGATTTTTTAATATCGAAATTATATATATATTTATAATTTCAATTAATTATAATTATTTAATATAGAGAATTTTGTATTTGAAAATATAATAAAGTGCTTATTTTAAGTGTATTTTTCCATACACAGCCATTATCAATGCACGTTACTGTAGATAGTGACACGCTAATATACTCTCTCATCCCTCGTTTCTCTTCTCCTCCTCCTCCTCCTCCCCACCCTCTACTCTCATTCCAACAACCCACACACTCATTCTCATTCATCAATACCTAATCATCATCAACAATCATCATCAATAATCTTAATCTCAATCTCACATCACATCACATCACATCACATCCACTAGTGATCACATACACTGCACCAACATCATACACACCAACTAAACTCATAAACATGAAATAACAAATTAATCAAAATAACAACTTTTATCTAATTACACAAATACACAAATACATACATACATAGATACAAGACATCTTGTTCTCTTTCCCATCTCTTCAATCCTCCTCACCACCATCTCCATCCCCTTCCCCTTCCCCTTCACCCTTACCCTTATCCTCGTTCCCCATCTTCAACCCATCACCCCTCAACAGCACAACCACAACCACAACCACGACTGAAAATCCAAATTCATTAATTTTTATCTTTTTTTTCTCCTCCCCCGAACCAGCATAAATATAACAACCAGTAAAATCATTAAATCCCATCTTTTCTTCCTCTTCTTCCTCTTCTTCCCTTCTTCTTCATCATCTTCATCATACAAAGTAACAAAAAACAATTTTCTTCCACCTCAATTCACAGCACCTCCCAACCACCAGAAAGCCCCTCCTATAGTAATAATAATAATAATAATGATAATAATATAAATACATGTTCCTTCCCTTTCCTTTACTTTCCACCACTCTTCTTTTTACTCTTCTTCTTACTCTTTTTCTTAGGTTTCGAACTACCAACACCTGATCCACTCTCTCCGCCTGTATTTTCCGTTTGACTCGAATGACTCTTATGTTCCGCATCAGCCAATCTATCAGTACTTGCAGCATTACTTAAGAACTGCATAAACTTATTCTCTACCCCATTCGCACTTTTATTTCCACTACCAGTACTACTTGAATGTAATACTCTTCCACCATTATTTTCCTCTCCACTGGTATTTGTCTCCAAAACCATCTTTCGAATACCACCTGCTTCTACCAAATTTTCCGTGATACTTCCACTTCTAGCCGTACTCTTCTTCTTTTTAGTTGGTGGACTTGTACCGCTCTTTTGAGAATGAAGAGATCCAACTGTATCCGTACTTTTATTCTTATTGAAGAAATTGGGAGATTGAAAGTCCATTACCAGGTGATTGTGGTATTGGACTAGTTGGTCCATCATATTCGATGTGCATTTGCGGTTTCCTCCTCGACACGTGTGGTAGGAGGAACACGATTATTTACCGTGCCATAACCTTGTTGTAAAGCTTGGACTCCATCTTTCGCATCTTGTCCAGCCGATCTAAGTAATCCTTCTCCTTCACCACCTTGTGGTCCTGGAGTATCTGTGTATGGCTCAAACTCAGGTTCTTCAGCAATAGATCCACGTTGAGCAACTGAATCACTTCTTGAATCAGTCCTGATACCACCGAGGATACTTCCGGGCTTAATTTTGACCGATTGATACTTTGTCATCTTTGGTCGACTAGCGAGGTTGGATGGACCAAGATGTTTTAAGTGTTCGCGCATATCATTCATATTTCCTCTGACGGCAACAACATTCCTATCATTATCACCTGTTGAAACCCTTCGCATAAAAGTTGTTTTAGGACTGGTACCGAAATGATTGGCAGGGCTTGAACTTCTAACCTCCGTTTGATTACGTCTCCTACCAAGTTGTACATTATTCGATCGTTCTTCTGATAAATCAATGAGACTGTCATCAGTACCGTGGATTGATCCATTGGAAGGTTCAACAATTTGGTTTGGCCTAAATCTTGATAATTTGGGTGCTGGGGTCATTCGTCTAATTGCTTTGTGAACATCAATATAAACATCCGACTCGTCAATGATTTCCCTATAATTGATTAGAGTGGTACGACTAGAGGATGTCAAGTTAAACTTACTCTCCAATCAGTTCTTCAATAACGTCTTCAAGTGTAACCACACCGGTAGCACCGAAGTTCTCGCCAGGATATTCTGAAACAAGTACCATGTGAGATTTTCCTTCTTGAAAGAAGTTTACAATATCCAAGCAACTGGTTTCAGGTCGAGTCTCTGGTAGGGTAGCCAAAGCAAAATCACTGACACGTTTACAGTCTTCTGGATCGTATGTGATCAAAATCTTGACAAGAAGCATCCCGACAAAGTTTTGCTCATTTCCAGGTTCGTAGATAGGAATTCGAGAATAACCAGCACTCAAAATGACGTTCATGGTATCTTCATCAAGTATCGCATCGGCACTTAGAGTGAATACATCACTTATAGGTGTCATGATATCTCCAACTGCTTTTTCCTTCAAGTCTAAGACTGCACTGATAATTGTAACTTCATCTTGGTTGAGTCGGTCGCTAGGACTTGTTCCTAATGTTTTGTGTAAAGTGACGAGAGTTTTTAGACCAGATTTCTTGTAAACAGTTCCATGATCCTCTCCAAGTAATTTGTCAAGAAGTTTAGCAGTAGGCCATGCAACCGGTGCTAAAAGCCACATAAGGCCTAAAACAGGTGGTGCCATAAATGCTCCGATGGAAAGACCATATCGCACACAAATCGATTGAGGAATAACTTCTCCGAAGATAACTAAACAGGTCAACATGAGTTTCATTGTCGCGGATTCACCAACATACCAATCAAAACTGTACTACCAAGAACCGCAGGCCATCCTCCACCAAGAGACCGGTCGAGCACAATCGGGAGTGTTTCGTTGACGATGACATTACTGAGTAGTAATGTTACAAGAACCCAATGTTTACCCTTTTGTAATAATCCATAGACCTTTTGGGCATGCCTCTGTTCTTTTCCTTCACCGGAAGTCGCGATAACTTGTAAATAGACACCATCTTGTCCCATCAACCTAGACGAAAACTTTGATTAGCATGACCACTTTGTGATGTTTTTCATTTGAAACTCACGCAATTGTTAAACCGGCGAAAGCACCACCGAGTAAAACCAACACACCGGCCACTGAGAGATATAACCATAAACTCGCATCTTCTACATCTTTTGGTGCATCCTCTTCGCTGGCGATTCCGAGAAAGGTGGTAATGGGAGCGGCAGAGACGGAAGTAATTTGGCAGATGGATAGGAATAGGATTTTGGCAAGACCTAAGATGGCAGGTCTTCTAGAAGTGTAGCCATTGCTGGTGAAGCTTGAGCGAGGACTTCCGACAATCGATTTCGAGTTCATCTCAGCTCTATAATCTGTGATGAAATGTCCAATGATTACTGCTCGCGACAGTAATTCAATTGGGCCCGACTCCCTAGGATTTTAGTGTCTTTTAAAGAGGTGGAGCCCTTTTTCCAAGTTTCCTCGGGTTCCTGATTTTTAGTTTTGTTAGATACCTGGTAAGTCCGAAGATGTCCGACCTGCAGTAAATAAATGGATTTTGGTACCGAGTAGTGATTAGATAATATTATCACACCGGTGAATGTGAGGATGGAGAATAGAAGAGAATATTAAATAAAGAGGCGGGACGGTATACGGAGTAAGTGATTTGAAATGGGTATTTGTGAAAAGATTAAGTTGGAGAAAATGCTGCATGTACAGGAGTGATCCCTTTACTTTACTTACGTGTTTGTGATGAGGAAAGTGCGATGTAGAAATAATAAGTAATAAATCATACTCTGTACAAAACAAAGAGACCGAATTTCTATATGGTTCAAAAAACCAGGGTCTCATATTTATAGCCAATCATATTATCGAATGTTGAAATATGACGATGTTTGGATCCCCACTTAAAATATAATCCTTGGCATTTGCTACTATTTTCTATCTTTTCTATTCCTTACTTCACTTTAAGTGCTCGTCTATTCTATCGAGTATTTTATAGAGTATTCTTCACTTCTACTCACTACCTCTCAATTGACATCATCAATCACACCGCTCATACTTAGGTACGCTCATGCTCATGCTCATGCTCATGCTCATGCTCATGCTCATGCTCATGCTCATGCTCATGCTCATGCTCATGCTCATGCTGCCATCTCATGTTTACATTTCAAATAAACTTCACATAATAAACACCTTCCCGAAATAGCTTTCAATAAAGGAAGCTGAACATTTTATCCCGTTTATCACCATCCATTTGGATCTGACTGCATATTAACCTATCTATTTATCCGTCATGAGTATGTACCTGCTGGCATGAAAAGCTTCAAATTTAAGCGATAAATAAGTCAAAATCACATCACCAATCCCACCATTCATCGAAAGAATCAATCATTGCAATACTTTTCTTTTCGTATCTTTCACGAGGCTGAAATTCCAAAATGCCAAGATACAGATAACACGCAGACTGAGAGAAGAAGAGAATATGAAGATTTTATTCTCGTCTTGGCATGAAGTTTAATTCTCCCGGTGGAATCAATAGATGAAAATGATAAGAGCTGAGGTTATTCCCGCGAAGTCTTTGTACTATTTGGAAGTTGATGTGTCAGGCTGTACAAAGTCTTCTTGGTAACACGAGATCTTAAGATCATGGACCTTGAGCAATTATTATCAAACCTGGGGATCAGGGTCCAATCTTTGTACTCTTATAACATTCTGGCCATGATCGAGTTTGATTTCTTTCAATTGATTTTATGGATTGAAATGTTGGGAGTATCATTTTTTTTTTTTTTCTATTCAAGCGTTTGAGATAACCTAGTGGGCTTGTCTGGGTTATTTATTTCATTGCTCAGGAGATACTGAAGTTACGCCGTATAGAATTTTATGGCACATGAAATATCCAACTTGCTGTGTACGACCATGATGAGATTTGATCTAGGCCAATGTAAGTCTTCTTGTGCTTTATCTACATAGTAGACACTCAGTTCGGATTGGATTGGATGCAATGAATCCTTTTATCCGAACGTACCACCTTCACTTTGATTTCCTTTTCTTTTCCAAATCTTCCCTAAAACTGTACTTCCTTTACCTCACATTATCAAAAAGTATTCCGCTTCGGACAGAAGAATTTGATCACCATCACAGTTTCCTCGCAACGTTACAGGGAATTTGATGGCGCAAGACTTCACATGGCCGAGTAGAATCAGTCATTTTAATCCAAGCACATGAAAACACAGTAATACACGTATCAAACTCGCTTCTTCTATCTATTTGCGACCATCGTCCTTTTAAAACGACTTATCAAGAAATCATACCAATAGTGGTAATGCTGACGATACGCACACCGTTGATGGCACTCGGTGAATACATATAAACGTCGAGAGCCTCATGCAACGTTTTGCCTGATGAGCCGCAGTGTGGTCACGTCGTTATCACGCGCGTAACACTTTATATTCTAACACAAAGTGTCACGTACGTTCACGTTACTGATCGAGTTTAAAACTGGTGGAAAGCTCATGTTATGAAGCCCTTGATGAGGATTAAATAGCATACAACGACTAAGAGCAACAGGGATGTGGAATTGTTTCTTTCCGTGCATTTTGCAATTTTCGAATGCGACCTGTACTAATAAATATAGGGCTATTATCATCAATGACCTAGGCAAGTCCTTGTCATTCGTTGTTGACCTCCTGGGATCTTGGCAGCATATGCATATATATTGCATGATGCATATAAGGAGCAAACAAAACTCAACTTTTAAATTCATTCTTTCCTTTTTGATATACTGTTTGTTTGCTTTCAATATTTTGATTTCAAAGCACTTTAATTCCGAAGGCTGAATACCTAACCTTATTCCTTCATTTTTTGAATATATACTCGCAGCTTAACTGCTTAGCTAGAGAATCAATCAATTCAATCTGATGCTCTTTCTGGTCTCAAGAAACCCAATAATACCGTAAGATTGATAAAGGAAAAAAGAATGTTTATATGGTTACGATATTCCAAATCTAGTATACGAAGTTCCAGTATGATCGAATGGGAACTGGTAGCCCATTCGTGGTACGAAGTCCCGTTTCTCATTCTCCGGATTTGCTTCCCAAGATTCGCTTCTCAGGATTCAACGGTAGGGGGCACCGAATTCCAACCCCACAATTATATAAAATATTGCCTAAAACAATATAGTCTTTGGGACCGACTTGTACGAAAACAGAGAAATATAGAACATTATTACAGAATTCGAACCATCGTTTTTCGGGCAGTATTGACAAGCAACTCTCTGCGTCGCAAAGGTTGTTTAATACCACAAAACATCGTTTTCGAATCATACTATATATGCTTCATAGCTAAAAGAGTGAATTTGCTTGCTTTTCTAGCGGACGAATCGGCGTGATTACTTCTTGAGCTTGGTAGAGTACTGCACTTGGATTGCTTCTAGCGTCCGGTGTGGGAGAGCATCATGTATATCCTTCCACAAGCAACCACTCTTTTTCATTTCAAGGATCGTCTTATTTTCGCTTCGTGTCCATCGCGCTGAAATTTTCTTTGTTCGCATTGCTGGCTGCACCTTCGAATATATGATAACACTGTAGTTGCTTAAGGGTTTTTATTTCTGTACTTTGGAATGTACGATAGCATTGGTAAGGGGTGGAATCTCTGCAGATTTTGAATTTTTGAGGTTAATACCAGATGGTGCCTGAAAGGCAGAGGGATAGCAATGGTGATTATCGATAGGTGTTTGTAGATGTCTGTCACAGCCCTGGGACTGTACCATATTCATCTTAAGGGTATGGCGCTTTCTAAGACAATGTTTCATATTATGTTGATTAGATGGTATTAAATCGTAATTAGTAGGCATTGAAGAGGTTTTTTGCCGTTTTGCAGGTCGGAATTCGTCACCCTGATCGCTTGAGTTGGGAGCGCTGTCATCAGAATGCTCAATGTCGCTGATATCCGTCTGTTGCCATCGTTTTTGTTCCCATCTATTTTGCGTATACTCATTTTCTTCATCTTCGTATATCTCTCCTATCGCTACCTCTTTATGTTGTTGCTCTCTTAGCCAATTTTCGTTGCAATCCTCACGGTAAGATGAAGGATTGTGCTCAAACCCCAAAGCAGTTTTTTGAGATTGACATCGAGTTTCAAATAGATCAATAAGTGATTGAGCTTTTGCCTCTTTCAATATCTAATATGGTACTAAACTCGGAGTCCAATCTACCAGATAACACATCTTATTGTCGATTTGCTCCTTTCCGATAATATTATGAAATTCGCGCTTGTCATTAGAAACTTGTGCGACATAAGTGCAGCTTTGAGAAAGGTTGCTAGTAATTGGACCCAAACGATACCATGCTGAAGGGTGATAATCTTCCTCTTCTTTACTTTTACCGTTGTGATCAACGTAAGCAGTTTTCGAATTGTCACGGTTTGGTATTTTGTTGATGGATGAGGTCAGAATATGCTCAGTATCTTGTGTAACATCAAAAGAAAAGGGTTCTTCATTTATGCTATGATATACAAGAGGTTTGGTTGATGTTGTAACGGCGTCGTTGTTCACATCGATAGATCTATCTAATAAAATGTTATTTTCGAGCTCTTAGAATCTTGTTATATATAGATGTGGGATTATATATACCTGGACTGGGTGTGGTGGATCTAGATCTTGCCTTTTTCAATTGACCATTCTCGAATATACTTTCCGAATCACGTTTGCCGGAGAACCTCTGAATACCACTATCATCAATTAATAGGATTTTTATAATTTGTTAAAATATACTGAAAGAAAAGCCAAAAGAGAAGGAAGAAAAGAATGATTCTAACCTTGATCCCTTGTACTTGATTTTCGCTTTGGTCTATCAATATTCTTGGTGTTAGACAACCCGTTTTTTGTAGACCTTGAAGTTGTTGACTCCTACTCCACTTCAAACCCAGTTAGGGAGCTTGTTCGAAGATGAAAGGTCCCCAAGTTTTGTGTATCTCTACCGTTAGCATCAACCAGACTACTTATCCCCGGAGCTTTAACGATAAGATCAAGCTCAGCGAAAGCAAGGTTAGGGTCTCTGGAAAGTAAATCGATATCAGGATCATGAATTTCATTCTCTGCCTCAAATATTAGTTCATTTCCAATCTTGTCAATTTTGTAGCTTTGACTTACCCTTATATTCACATTGCTTAGATTCTACCTCTGTTCTTGCAGCAGGCTGATCTGTATCAAAAGTTTCATGAACCCGAGTGTCGGATTTCATGGATTCTTGAAGATGTGAATTTTTCTCTTTGGGCAACCGTCTTGTAGATGCATAGGTATAAGGAATGATTTTCAGGGAATTCATTTTTGAAGCAATGTTTATAAAAGGGAGAGGAAATGAGAAATGATTTTGAAGTTTTTGATTTTTTGATTCAGGACCGACTGTTCCTTTTATACACGTAACCTTCACTGTGAAATGAAACAAACCTGATTAATCTGGCAAATCCTTGTAATAACGTACTCACATATTCCAACGTATGAGATCGATTTGGAACCCAACCCCCTTTTCCTTGGAATTACCTATCCACATATTCCACTACTGATTTTCTGAAAGATAACAAGGTCTAATTTGCTATATGCAAGAAGCCAGCTGATTCAAAACTATACATTCCTATTGGATACTTAATCCAATATTGATCGAATTAAATCATTTATCCCGCTTTGCCTTACATCCACAAAACTGTTGCTTCCGGGATTGCACAATAGTTAGATAGTAATGGTCAGCGAACCAAAAGATGAAGGTGAAAGAAACTCTAAATCTCTGGATTACAAACGCTGCTACCCATACAAGCTGATATGTGCTGTCACTCTGTTGCAATGCCACGACAATCATAGAAATATTGTCAATATGATCATGAGAATCCTGAAGATTTCCATCATTCATCCTTGCTTTAGTATAACCCTTGGTCAATTTCTTGATTCTAGACCTTCCACGTCAGCTCGTTAAGACTGGAGAGCGGAATTAGGAGCGAAGCCGAGGAGAAACCCAACGATAGTTTTCCATATAAGCATGTTCTCGTATATGCAGAAGACTAGGATTTCATGGATAAAATGAGAAAGTGTACCCAAAAGGCAAAGTCGATTGGATATCTGGCGACGATGATGAATGAATAGCACTATACTAATAACTAGATGTCATTTAAGATTAGCGAAGCTGATTTCAGCTGGACACAAATGATTAACAAGGGACGGAGAAAGACTTGCTAGAGCTAGAAGCGAATTAAAAGGCAAGCCGAGATGCTAAATATGCGTTTGAGGGGGACGGAACAGGGATTTAAACGGACGAATCCAGCTGCAACATGCTAGGAGAAAGAATATCTGGAACGGTGAAGGTAGGGAATGAACAAATGCAAGCAAAATTCAAGGAAGATAAGAGCAACAAAAACCTAACTAGTTTCCTATTCCAGATATGCGATACTAGCTGCTTGATATTAGATAGGAAAGTTGTAGCGGAGCCTCTAAACGAATCTTAAAAGACCTTCCTTTTTGGCGTGTAAATGATGCTGTATAGAGTGGAAGAATTGCAACAGCATCCAGTTCAGCTGAGCGGGTATTGTTGGTAAAGGAATACAATTGTATATTTGTAGATGGATAATAAGAAAAGACTTACTAGAAGCCAAAAGCAAATCAAAAGGCCAGTCGAAGTTTAAACAGAAGATATGAGGATGCCAAAATAGACAACTGGGAGAGAAGTCTAGCTGTAACAATCCTAGAAGACAGAACCTAGAATAATAGGTGAAGAAACAAGTAATTCAAGTGCCTCTTGTAACCTTGCGAATCGATTACGAACCAACATTCACAACATCCGAAAGATCAACTGATCAATGGACCTCTGCTCCATCCTACGATATCCGCAAATCTAGATAAGGAAACTGCTCCTTTGTAATGTTGTAATTTCCGAGATTGGTTATTTTTGGAGATTGGTAATGAATTGAACAAAAGAGGAAAGTATAAGATACTGTTGGGTTTATTGAGACTAGAAAGAGCATCAGATTGAATTGATTGATTCTCTAGCTAAGCAGTTAAGCTGCGAGTATATATTCAAAAAAATGAAGGAATGAGGTTAGGTATTCAGCCTTCGGAATTAAAGTGCTTTGAAATCAAAATATTGAAAGCAAACAAACAGTATACCAAAAAGGAAAGAATGAATTAAAAGTTGAGTTTTGTTTGCTCCTTATATGCATCATGCAATATATATGCATATGCTGCCAAGATCCCAGGAGGTCAACAACTCTCCATTCTCTAAAAACATCTACTATTGCTAGCAATTCCTTGTCATATATCTCGTAGTTTAATTCGGCTAGCGATAGTTTGCGTGAATGGTAAGTGACTGGTTGCTATTTCTCATTCAAGCCTGGTTGGCTTAGTACTGCGCCTATTGCGTAGTCTGAGGAGTCCGTCTCCACGATTATTGGTAGTTCCGGGTCGAATGCCCTGAGAACTGGTTCTCCTGCGAATGCTTGCTTAAGGCGTTCGAATGCTTCTTGCGCTGTTTCCGTCCATCGGAATTCCCCTTGACTATTCTTGGTAACCTCCGTCATTGGAGCGGCTATCTTTGAATAGTTCTTGATGAATCTTCGGTAAAAGTTGGCGAACCCCAGGAAGGACTGTACTTCCTTCACGCTGGTTGGGGGTTCCCATTCCATAACTGCTTTTACCTTGTTAGGACTCATCTTGAGACCTCCGGAGAATATAGTGTAGCCCAGGAATTCCGTTTCTGTGACGTGAAATTCACACTTGCTAGGTTTGCATTGAAGATCTGCTTCCTCCAAGTGTTGTAAACCTTCTGGACATCTTTGACATACTGCTCCTCTGTTTCCGAGAATACTAAAATGTCGTCTAGATAGCATATGCAGCATATATCCAGGTATTTCCTTAATACATTATTGACTAAGTGCATACATGTTGCTGGTGCGTTTGTCAATCCGAATGGCATAACTTGGTACTCGTATAATCCGTATCTAGTTCTGAATGCTGTTTTCCATTCTTCACCTTCCTTCATTCTGATGAGGTGAAATCCGTTTCGTAGATCAAACTTGGAGAAAATCTTGGCTTTTCCCAATCGATCCCTCAGTTCCGTAGCTAATGGAAGTAGGTACCGATCTTTGATCGTTATATCATTGAGCTTGTGATAGTCTACGCACAGTCTCCTCGTACTATCCTTCTTTGGTACAAATAGCACGGGGCTAGCTGTTTGTGAGGTGGATTCTCTGATCCATCCCTTTTCTAGTGCGTCGCCAATGTAATTCCTAAGCGTCCTTAGGTCAGAGGCTGAAATTGGATAGATTGGTCCGAATGGAGGCATCTTGCCTTCCTCCAATACTATCTCGTGATCCCATGGCTTATGTTCTGGTAAAGCTTCATGGCCTTTTCTTTCTTCGAATAGTTTCTTGTACTTCTGGTACTGTACCGGTATTGGCGTCTCGTCCTGTTTCTCTACAGGGGTGGTTTTAAGCAGCTTCTTTTGCTTATTCTTCATTTGTACGGGAGGTTCACCTTCCTTCGCCGTTAATGGAAGACCCTGGACCGGGCGTCCTACGTTAGTGGTGCTGTTCGCCTTCAGTTCTCCACCGCGTATGTTCAGCCTCGCAGGCTCTAGCGTATCTCGTTGATCGCTCTTGTTTGGAAATGTTACAGTTTCCCACAACCAGTCAATCTGGAGGTTGTGTGCTTTTAACCATGGCATCCCTAGGATGATTGATTGATTTCCTAATGGGACGACGTCGAATTGGATGATCTCCTTGTGTTGGTCTATGATCATCTGTACTGAGCGTGTTTCCTGCGAAATCTTTCCGTCCAATCCGGCTAGTTGTCCATCAACCAGCTGCAATTGATATGGGGTTTGTTTCGTCTGAAGTTGCACTCCCAAGTACTTCGCAGTTTTTGGTGCAATAAAATTTCCCGTAGCCCCTGAATCGATCATGGCTCGTATTATTTGTCCTTTTATCTTCGCAACCCAGTAAATCTGTCCTGCCTGTCCTGCGATATTCAATTGTCCTTGACCCAAAACTTTGTTGTGGTCAATTTGGTCAATTTGGTCAATTTTGTGTAACTGACCATTTAAATGACCATGTGACGATATTTTTTCTGACCTTCCCTTCTTGTAGGGTCCTTTTGCTTTTCTTTGGGGAAACCATCCTGTGGCTTCCTTATCTGATAGGTGAATTCTGCAGGATTCATCGTAGCAAGCTATCCAGCTCATCGTCGCGTGTTCTACCGACGGTATTTCTTTCGGGTCTTCCTTGATAAGGGGAGGTGAAGGGGTTCGGAGACGCTCCAGATCGTATCGGTCTATGGCTTTCAACCCTTCCTGGTCTCGTGACATTGCGTCAATTTCCTTTTGACGTTCTTCACGTTCGTAACTATCGTCTTCGATTGGATTTGAAGCGCATAGTTGGGGTACAAAGGTGGCATTGAGTTGACCTTTGCCGAACTTCTTGTGATAACCTCCTCCTGGTGATCTCTTGCTTCGGCAATCCCTGGCCCGATGGCCTGGTTTGCCACATTCGAAGCATAGCTTGTCCTTGCGTCTGCGTTCTACCTCTTCCTTGGGTAGTTTGTTCTTAAACTTTGCATCCAATTGCATTGGTTCTCCGTAGGATTGTCTGATTTCTCGAGGTCTTCCTTCATTCTTGTGGTACTTACCACGATCTCGGTTTCCATGAAAGTTGGAAGATCGGCGTGCCTTCTGATACTCATAGAGCATCTCATCCGCCTTAATAGATTCCTCGATTAACTCGTTTAGGTCTTCCCAAGTGCAATTGCGATCCAGTTCTAGCCTGACTTCAGGCTTGAGCCCTTTCCGGTAATGGCTCATCATCGCGTTTTCTTCCCATCCAGTGGTACCTATATACCTCCTGAATTCCACAGCGTACTTAACTGCTGACCCTGTTTGCTTGAGGCCATAGATCTTGGACTCAGCGTCACGTAATTCATTGATGTTCCCGAATACTCGTCGTATTTCTTTCTTAAAACCTTCGAATCTCCCAAAGATGGTTTGAGTTGGGTACATTCGCTTCTTAGGCTCGCTCAAGTTGGTGAAGTAATCCTTGAGGTAGGGCTGGACCCACTTGGCGGCTTCTCCTCTGAGGTAGGAGGCAGCCCAGACGCTTTTGTCGGCGTCATGGTTGAACTTATCCTGATTGAATTGGAAGTAGATCTCAAGTTGGAGCAAGAAGGTTTCTAGCTCTTGTCGATTGCCTGTGAATCGGTCTGGTAGGGCGACTTTAAGAGTCTCGGTGACGGTAATCTCCTTGGGGTCTTCGATACCTCCCATGGCAATGTCTCCGTCCTTGTCGGTACTTTCGGGGGTGACCTGACTGGTTGTAGCGGGGTTGCTAGGCTGTGGTGTCTTGGAAGACATGATGTCGTTACTTATCGAGTCGGTACTTGAAGCAGTAATGGTGCTCAAAGTGTTACGAGGTTTGCCGTCTAGATCATGTGGAAGTGCTCTAGGCTCTCGAGGTGGTTTATAACTAGGCGTCAAGCAGGGACTTAAGTAATGACAATAATGATATGCAATTCGTAACTAATAGTAGAGTATACTAAATGATTGGTCTTGAGCACGAAGCTCTACAGAAAGGAATTCATACTGAATATATAGATCCTCGTACTCCTTGGATCACCTTGGATCACCTTGGATCACCAGTGATCCTGACTGATCCAGCATACTTGTTTATATGCTCTGATGGTGCGTGCATATAAGTTCTTAGGGTGACCGAAATCTCATAGTAAATTGAGCGAATCGAAACCGATTTGCACATGGCCCAAGCTGACGAAAACAAGTCAGCTGTTACCATCGTAACATGATTTAAATTTTGATTTTCAATTTGTATAGGATTTATATACAAGTTTAAAAATCTTGAAAAACTTCAATAAATTTTCAATAAAAATTACTAAAAATAAATTGTAAACCTTTTTCGAATATTTATATTATAATTAATCAAATGAATTAAATTATTTAAAAATGTGACGGAAACCCCTGCTTTCCTCCCACCCTTATTATATAAGAAACCTCAGGTAACGTGGTTTATCAGTAACCGGAACATATCAGTAACCAGAACACTTTTACCTCAATTACCACCTCTCAACTTTAACACGCGATAAATCCATATTCAACCTTTCAATCAATATGCAAGAGTCGCAAATTAATCTAGCCATTCAAGCTATTGCTTCATCCAAAAAACTAAGTGTGCGAAGAGCTGCTAAAATCTATAATATACCGCATACTACCCTTACCTACAGAATGGCCGGTCGAACGCCGAAAGCTGGATCTCGATCAATACATTGTAAAATGACGGAATTAGAGGAGAAATCGCTTTTTCAATATATAATTGATATGGACGAGAGAGGGTTTAGTCCTCGAATAAGTGATGTGGAAGATATGGCGAATTATATACTCGAAACGCGGGGTGCGAAGAAGGTTGGAAAGCTCTGGGCTCATCGCTTTGTGAAACGACATACAAAATTAAAGACGCGTTTTAATCGCGTTTATGACTTTCAAAGAGCTCTCTGCGAAGATTCAGAGCTTATTGAAAGATGGTTTCGATTAGTATCGAATATGCGGGCCAAATATGGTATTCTAGACTGCGATTTATACAACTTCGATGAGACAGGCTTTATGATGGGACAAATATCACCACATATAGTAGTTACTAAAGCTGATCGATATGGAAAAAGCAAAGCTATACAACCAGGCAATCGAGAATGGGCTACAGCGATTATTTGTGTTGATGGAGAAGGTCATAATATACCTCCGTTTTTGATAGTAAAAGGCGAACACCACCTCTCAAATTGGTATACCGAAGGCGATTTACCATACGATTGGCTTATTAAACCTACTACCAATGGATGGACAGATAATGAGACAGGTCTTGAATGGATTAAGCACTTCAACAAGCATACTGAAAGTAGGAAAGTGGGTAGATATCGAATGCTAGTGCTTGATGGGCATGAAAGTCATAAATCGCCAGCATTTCAGGAATACTGCAAGGAACACAACATTATATTACTTAGTTTACCACCTCATTCTTCGCATTTAACTCAACCACTCGATATCGGTTGTTTTGGTTCTTTAAAGCGTTCATATAGTCGACAAATCGAGAACTTTATCAAGGCGCATATCACTCATATTACCAAAACCGAGTTCTTTCAAGCCTTCAAAGCTGCATATATCGAAGCAATATCTATATCGAATGGTAAAGCTGGGTTCCGCGGAGCTGGGCTAATCCCATTTAATCCGGAAATTGTACTTTCAAAGCTAGATATTCGAATAAGAACTCCATCAGATAGGTTAATATCAGCCGATCTTGATATATGGCAATCTCAAACACCTCACAATCCAACTGAAGCTCTTTCCCAATCCACTTTAGTGAAAAGTCGTATTGCTCGGCATCAAGGGAGTTCACCTACTCCAATATTTGAAACAGTTGCAGCTTTAGCTAAGGGTATAGAGCTCCTAGCTCATGCGAATACGCTTTTAACTGCTGAGGTTCATAGTCTCCGCAAAGCAAATGAAGCACTTAGTAAACTCCGGAGAGCTAGAAAAGCTTTAATACGAAAAGGAGGAGCACTTTCAGTAGAAGATGGGCATAGTATATCAGAACAAGAGAATGTAGAAGATCAGATACGACGCGACGAATATACAAATGATGGTTCTTCAGCAAGGAGGCAAGCTACTATACGACGATGTAGCAAATGCGGTAGTACTTTACATAATGCACGAACTTGTCAGTTCGATCCAGCATTAGTTGATCTTTAGATTGTATATAATTCAATCCTAATTTATGGTGTTGTTGTAATTTTATTTTAATGGAATATGGGTAATTGAGGTAAAAGTGTTCCGGTTACTGATATGTTCCGGTTACTGATAAACCACGTTACATTAACCATGTCCACACATGATACGATTACTCGGGATTAGTATACGATTTAGGTGACCTGAGGATCAGATCCGGACAAGTACTAGGTATCAATGGTTATCGGTAAAGTAAGATCATTGGAGGGATAAATATGACTTCTTTTTGCCTAGCCATTGCGACTAGGCCATTCATTTGTGTGTATATAGAGTAGCTATCCCCATCTACAGGTGCTCTTCACCTGTAGATTCTAAGTTAAATACAATTGCTGGTCTATAAACACCCTTTTGGTCACAATTCTATATAAATCGAAAATCAAAACTTTAACCTTCAATACCTCAACCAATAAAATCGCAAAAATTCTGAAACCTTCAGAATCTATTTATAACTATATAAAATATTTTGTAATTGAAATTTCAATTAATTTTATTCATTAATTATTTAAATATTAATAGATGAAAATCGTCATTTTTGGTGTAAAAGGGTGGCCGAGATTAGGAGTGGCAGAGAAGTGGGGTACTAGACTTATTAGTTTACAACAAACAGTATCCCATTATGCTGATTGATTGATTGATTGATTGATTGATTAAATTAACGTCTAAACTGAGTCTATGACTATCTAAGACGGCTAGGAGCTTTGTAGGCTTCTAACAATAATAAATGGAGGGTAGCTGGCCTTATTCGACCGTAGCTAATACAGGTTGGGGAGATTGAGAGCCTCAATCTTCTAATGTTTGAATGGGGGAAGTGAAAACTAATCCTAGGGAACCATGCCCGCCTTACCGATACTCTTCGTATTTAATAAGGAAAATGACAAATGAAATAATTAAAATTCAAATTGGGGTGGTAAAACCTCACGATTGAGAATGAATTGACCAGATGGATAGACCGAATTGATCAGATTGACCAAATGAATTGACCAAATTGACCAGATGAATTGACCAAATCAACCAAATCAACCAAATTGACCAAATTGACCAAATTGACCAATTGAGCTGACCAAATTGACCAGATGAAATGACCAAATCGACCAAATAAATTGATCATATTGACCAAGGTGATCAGGTATTGGCTGAATTGACCAGGAGAAGCGGCCAGATTGAGGATAATGGATGGTTTTAATGTTTGGGTGGGTGATAATTTAACTTTGAAAATTTGCAAAGTTGGTAATATGGGTTGTAAAGGGGTTATTCTAACTGTTGGTACGAGAAGGATACGGAAGACGTAGCACCCACGGATTACGTAGGTCCTGTATGTCTAATTGTATTCTGTCTAAAGAGCTAGTGTTGACCTCCTGGGATCTTGGCAGCATATGCATATATAGTACATATGCATATAAGGAGCAAACAAAACTCAACTTTTAATTCATTCTTTCCTTTTTGGTATACTGTTTGTTTGCTTTCAATATTTTGATTTCAAAGCACTTTAATTCCGAAGGCCGAATACCCAACTGTTGACCTCCTGGGATCTTGGCAGCATATGCATATATAGTACATATGCATATAAGGAGCAAACAAAACTCAACTTTTAATTCATTCTTTCCTTTTTGGTATACTGTTTGTTTGCTTTCAATATTTTGATTTCAAAGCACTTTAATTCCGAAGGCTGAATACCCAACCTATTCCTTCATTTTTTTGAATATATGCTCGCAGCTTAACTGCTTAGCTAGAGAATCAATCAATTCAATCTGATACTCTTTCTAGTCTCAAGAAACCCAACAGTTATGAGCCCGGTGCTGACTTTCAATTAAACATCCTGCACAATACTTGATTCACATATACCGAAACTCTACGATACCTTCAAGTTTCACTCTTTTAAGAATTACCTTACGTAGTGTGGTTTCTATAAAACCCAAACCTCGATAATTCTGACTTTATTTCTTCAATATGACTACAGGCGATAATTCAACTAAAATCATCCTTTCCTCACCAGAGGATTGGAATAGTTGGATTCGAAATGTTCAGCGTATTGCAGAATCCGGCGGCATCAAATGCTGGGTATACCTTGATCCCACTACAACAGTTGTACCTATACCAGAGTTGCTAGATGAACCAGAGCTACCCACAGTTGATGAAAATGCTTCTGAGGCTGTTATTGATAGGGCTTTAAAGCAATATCAGATGCAACTAGAGAACTATCGTATCAAGAATACCAAATACGAGAAAATCAACAAGGCCATTTCAGAGGTTCTCAAGTACATACTTTCATCAATCAACCGCAATTGCGAAAAGTTTATTAGTACCACCAGTATCACAGCACCTCAAGTGCTTGCTGATTTACGCAAAAGGCTAGCACCAACTGATCGTGCGAGAGAGCTTACCGTCGTAGCACGATACAATTGTGTAAAGCAACCCTACAAATCCAATCAGGATATTTATGAATGGTTGAACGAATGGGAACTCATCTACACTGAGGCTAAAACTCTCAATCTGCCAGACGTCGATCGAAATCGAGCTGCGTTCGACTTTTCTACAGCCCTTATGAATCACAGCTCCTCTTGGGCAACTTCAACTCTGTTGGAGATCACCAAAAAGCTCAAGAATCAGCCTGAAGAAACGATTGATGTGTACGATTTAATCGAAGACTTTCGAAACTACACTCGACTCACACAGGCATCAACTACTTCAACCTCTTCTACGTCATTTGCAACCTATAAGGATGGGAATAAAGATAAAAAGGAAGGAGAGAGAACCTGTCTATGTGGCAAGAAACATCTATATGAAAAATGCTACTATCTATATTCGGATAATCGACCAAGGAACTGGAAACCAATCGATGCCGATATTGAATACTTCAAGAAGTTCTGGGGAAGGCAATCAACAAAACGAAGGAACTGGTTTGTTCGTAGACATGAAGGAACTAAAGAACTTCTCAAGCTAGCAAATCTCTCTTGGGATCCAGCATGGAAGGAAACATTGACTAATCCTTCAGAATCTGGAAAAGAGAAAGATAAGGATCTTGGGGCTTTTCTCACTAAACAAAGTCCTACCTACAACAATGCTAGCATCCTTCACAAATGGCTAATTGATAGCGGTTCCGATACCCATGTCACCAACTCTCTACACAACTTTGTTCTTGAAGAGTTTGGAAAGCCATCCGATATGATAAGCGCTGGAAGGGACCGATTCCAAATTGAAGCATTCGGTACTATCACTATGTTGATCAATACACCAACTGGGCCAGGGCAAATAACCTTAAAAAGAGTGGCGTACATCCCAGGGTTTCTTACAAACCTAGTCTCTCTAGCTTTACTCTCAAAGAAAGGTGTACATTGGAACACTGAACACCCAGATGTCCTTACAAAAGAAGGCATTGCATTTATTACTCTGAAGCAAACAGGAGACCATTGGACCCTCGATCCTATTATCCTTTCTCAGCATGCTTCGTTTGCCACCAAAAACCACACCAAATCAATATGCCGAAAGGTTACAACAACAGAGTTACATGATCTTCTAGGCCATCCTTCTCTCGAAGCCCTTCAGCACCTAGAATCAGCAACTACTGATATCATTATCGACAAAACGATTTCGACACCTTCCTTCTCTACCTGCAAAGTTTGTAATCTCTCGAAGGCTCAACAGATTATATCTCGTAATCCAAGGAAGGAGATGCCAGAGAACGGCCATGTCGGAGATCGATTGGCATGGGATCTGTTCGAGATGGATGAGGCTTATAATAATACCCGATATATCAGCCACTTCTGGTGTACGACACACAAAATACAATGGGTGTATGTTCTAACTAGGAAAACAGAGATGATCGATATTATGGATACTCAATTCTCTCTGATACAAACACAATTCGGCTCAAAGGTCCGATTCATACGCCTCGACGGTGAAACTACGTTAGGGGGCGACTTCAAGAGGATCACAGACAAACGTGGCATCATTGTCGAACGCACTCCACCAGATACACCAGCACAGAATGGCGCTGCAGAGAATGCTGGTAAAATGCTCATGGTCAGAGCAAGAGCCCTCCTCCTTTCAGCAAACCTACCACAAAACCTTTGGCCAGAAGCAATTAAAACAGCCGGTTATCTTGAAAACCGTACTCCAAAAAGAGCTCTTCAATGGAAAACACCATTTGAAAGTGCTACTGGCAATAAACCTTCGCTAGCACATCTACATCCATATGGGTGCTTGGCATATGTGCTCAACAAGCAGATTCCAAGACGTGCGAAGATGCAACCTCGTGCAAAACTGGGCTATCTTGTAGGGTATGATTCAACGAATATCTTCAGGATCTGGCTCCCTTCCATAAATCGCGTCATTCGAAGTAGGGATGTCAAATTTGATGAAACCCGGTATTATCGACCAGAAGATATAGATATTGGCTTTCTTATTAAGGATCAACTTCGGGATACTGCAGCTATTCACGAAAAGAGGGCAGAAGAGATAGAAATATCGAATCTGTTGAGTGAAGAATCAGATGAGAGTATTGGTGATATAATTGTAGTTGAAGGGCCATGGAACTTACAACACAATCGCTTAAACGAGCGACCAACGAATGAAAGCTCTTCAAACAAGACGGATGATGGTATTCCAACCAATGAGGGGGTTCCTCAAACTAACCCTCAATTGCCAACGCCTAGAGCAACCTTATCACCAGAAGCACTTACAAGACAATCTACTGGAGATGTTCCTATACCATCATTACCGGAGTCAGAACTCTCATCTTCCCCATCATCATCGTTAAGTCAACATGATATCATCACTACAACATCATCTCATAATACAGCACCTTTGGCAGAGCAAATACGTGCCGATATCGACGTATCCCATATAATTCAGGGTTCTAGACGTTCACAAAGGAAAGAACATCATGCTGCAGCACTTTCATCACTTCCTCAACTATCCAGCTACTTTGCAGCATTTGCTATCGGAAGGTCTAAATTACGAACTCCTAGATTACATCAAAATGATCTACCACCTCCACCTCGATTTTATCATGAGCTAGTACAGCATCCATATGCTAGAGAATTCCAAAAAGCATGTGAGGATGAGATCAACGCTCTGAAAGAACGTAAAACCTTCGAATACATCGATATATCTACAAGAGGACAAAAGCCTTTACCATTACTCTGGGTTTTCACTTATAAATTCGATCAAGATGGTTATCTCATCAAGTTCAAAGCAAGAATCTGTGCCAGAGGAGATCTTCAATCAACCGAAGAAGAGACATACGCTGCAACGCTAACTTCACAAATTTTTAGAGCTATGATGGCTATCGCTGCAGCTTTCGATCTTGAGATTCGACAATTTGACGTTTCCAATGCTTTTTTACATGCAACATTAAGGCAACCAATTATTTGCAAGTGCCCTGATGGCTTCGAAGTCCCAGGGAAAGTGATTTCCGTAAACCAAGCACTTTATGGCTTCCGAGAGTCTCCAGCATACTGGTATGAGGATCTGACCTACACGTTAACCGACTTTGGTCTGGATCCAGTTCCAGGAGCACCCTGTGTTTTCACCAATAGCTGGCTTACGGTTCTCTTCTATGTCGACGATATTATCGCAATTTGCAAGAAAGCTGATTTGCTACGATTAACCTTATTCGAAAACACCTTAAAATCAGCATACACCATCAAATCACTTGGAGATATACAGTTCTTCTTAGGGATTAGGGTACTACGAGATCGACAAAATCATCGTCTGTGGCTTTGCCAAGATAACTACATTTCAAAAATATCAACACGCTTCAATATCAAACCTAATCCTCAAGCCTGTTCTCCATTGCCAACAACAGCACTTACAAAGAATCCAGCAATTGCAACTCCGCAACAGGTTTTCGGCTACCAGCAGCGAGTTGGCAGCATTAACTACGCTGCTGTTGTGACTCGGGCTGATATTGCAAAAGCATCTTCAATACTATCAGAATTTCTTCGTAATCCATCCGCTACTCATATCAATGCAGCAGTACATACATTGCAATACCTTGAGAATACCAAATTCTATGCTATCATGTTCGATGGGAAGAAAGCAACAACTACCAGGAACTTTCAAATCTGGAGTGACGCCTCCCATGCTGACGATATCGATACAAGAGTTTCTTCAATGGGATATTGCCTCATACTCTTTGGAGGTTTGATCCACTTCAAAAGCACTAAGCTGAAGTCGGTGACTACTTCCAGCACACACTCTGAAATACTGGCTCTTTCCGTTACTGCTCGAGAGCTTATGTGGTGGATACGCTTCTTTAAGAATGTTGGTTTAGATCTCGAAGAAAAGGCTTCAATTTTCTGTGATAATCGCCAAACCATTCGACTTCTTCAGCATAGTACTCCTAGACTTGTTACAAAACTCCGGCATGTTGATATACACTCCTGTTGGCTTCGCCAGGAAGTGCAAGCAGGAAGGCTACAAGTCGAATGGGTTCCAACTACTGAAATGGTTGCAGATGGTTTCACTAAACCTCTACCACCACAGAAACACACTCATTTTATCAATCTTTTGGGAATGGTTGACATTCGGTCTCAGGTTCAGGAATAACCTCATTATTAACTAACTCGGTAATCCCTGAGGGGGCGTGTTGACCTCCTGGGATCTTGGCAGCATATGCATATATAGTACATATGCATATAAGGAGCAAACAAAACTCAACTTTTAATTCATTCTTTCCTTTTTGGTATACTGTTTGTTTGCTTTCAATATTTTGATTTCAAAGCACTTTAATTCCGAAGGCTGAATACCCAACCTATTCCTTCATTTTTTTGAATATATGCTCGCAGCTTAACTGCTTAGCTAGAGAATCAATCAATTCAATCTGATACTCTTTCTAGTCTCAAGAAACCCAACACCAACCTATTCCTTCATTTTTTGAATATATACTCGCAGCTTAACTGCTCAGCTAGAAAATCAGTCAATTCAATCTGATGCTCTTTCTAGTCTCAAGAAACCCAACAGCTAGCTACATATTGAAAGTAGTAAGTCTTATATAGACTTACTAAAAGAGCTAGTCTCTTTCGCGTTCGCCTAGTTCTTTATTACAGTAGTAATTGAATTGAAGTCATTCACTTCGTTCACACACTAACCCTTCGGCTCTTCAGGTTACCCTTTCTCTTTCATCTTGTTCTCCTATCTCTTCCTCTATTCTATTGAGATGCCATGATCTAGTGGCTATCCGCGTGGCTTCGATAAATTCGAGAGTTTTGGTGATTCCTGTCTTCGTATGAAGTAGATGTTTCATAGTGAGTTGGGGATTGGGATTGTCCTTTTTGAGCAATCTTCTTGCTGTATTGTATATGGAACAATTGAGCAGAAGATGATCAGGAGATTCCCATTCCCCGCATCTACAATTGTCATTAGTGGAGATTCCGAATCGTTTAAGATAAGATTTGAAATATCCGTGTCCAATTTTGAGTTGGAATAGAGCACTAATGATACTTCTTTTGGTGTTTCCTGGAATTCCGATCTTCGAGCTGATTTTCCAAGGGTAATTTCTTGAATGTGTTGACGATGGTTGATGAATATTGTTAGTATTGAGGATGGCTGTCCAGTTCTCGGATTTCATTCTTATTATTGGGTTTATTGAGACTAGAAAGAGCATCAGATTGAATTGATTGATTCTCTAGCTAGGCAGTTAAGCTGCGAGTATATATTCAAAAAAATGAAGGAATAAGGTTAGGTATTCAGCCTTCGGAATTAAAGTGCTTTGAAATCAAAATATTGAAAGCAAACAAACAGTATACCAAAAAGGAAAGAATGAATTAAAAGTTGAGTTTTGTTTGCTCCTTATATGCATCATGCAATATATATGCATATGCTGCCAAGATCCCAGGAGGTCAACAGGTATCTATTACAATTCAAGATTTGGTATATACAGTATCAACGGCAGTTTACGGTGTTTGATCCATGATTTCGGCCCGCTTGGAATGTCGTAAATCATCAAAATGGAATAGCTATTAACTGCCATCATATTACACAATCCTTATCCCAGTTTGACAGTCCAAAACCGAAATTTTCAGTTGTTGATAAAGATACAGATTTAGAGGCAGGAGCAGCTGAATGAGACTATAGATGTAGATGATATTGGAAAAGATTAAATACAAGCGATATAGGAACAAAGATTAATAGGAAAAGTAATGACCGATCCTATTCTACTAAGCTATATTCATTTCAAATACTTTGATACCGTGAAGGTTAAGGACTGTCAATCTTATTGCACTGACGGTCCTCGTTTCCGAGTCATTATAGAAATGGAAAATATCGGCCTGTGATGTTAAGGAATGACCAACACCATCAATGTTATAGTAAATTATCTTTCCCCACTGTATTATAGTATCGAAGGATTACAAGGACAATATAATTATCGGGAATATGCTTCGAGTCAACCCAAGGTGCGGTATATATTCCAGTGGGGCAACAACCACAATAAACGCTAACAAAGTGAATTTTGAGGAATACCTCAAATATCAATCTCCGCAAAAATAATAATGAGTAAGAGCAACAACGCTGATACAGCCTATATCTATAATAAAAGTGAACCAAGTATGACTTAATTTTACTTACTGAAATTCCAAAAATTTGAGATGAGTTGAAGGTCCATAACTGGCCAGTAGCTAAAATATATGCGATATGCAAAAGGCTTTGAATAATCATAACTCGATCAATCCAGTGATATACTATATAATAAGAATGAATAGAAATATCAATGAAATTGGCCAATGTATTGGTCCGCCCACTCAAGAACAGCGGTATAAGGTTCACCAAGGTCATAATTCCTGCTCGAGAAGTAATATCGGACATGATCTTTACCCCAAGACCCATACAAAAGCCGTTGATATCTAGATATCCTCCTACAAGAAAGCCTTGCAATCTTGTAATATCAGTCCAATATCTCCATTGAACAAATAATAGATAAACCAGATGCCTCAATATTAGAACCTGGAACCGTGTTATAAGAAAGGCGGAACTAACGGAGCCAACTCGGTAAAGGATCAGGAGGACTGCAATTGCTGCTAAAGAGATTGCGTACCACTGCGTCAAGTTCATAACTCCACAAAAGGATATTATGATGATAGTTTAGATGATGATTTAGATGATGGTTTGGATAAGTTTTTAGGGAAATGAAATGCGTATTGTTTTTAAAAAAATGTACTTACTATTGAGAACCTGGAAGCATAGATGTAGTAGTAGCCCATGTATTCATGATGCCCATTCAACTAACTCCCGTCATCTGATGTTCGGCTTTCGCTTTCAGGAACAAATGACAGGCTGCATAAGCGCCCGCATCAACGCCCGCATCTACGCGCGCGGCTTCAAGAACTATTTTTATTCAATATGACCAACTTTTAATACTTTTTAAAAAGTCGAACGGTTTTTCGATTAACTGAAAGTCAAGTTTTTAACTTTCGAGATCAGTTTTGCAGCTTCACTTCTCTCAGATCATCATACCAAAATTTCATTACATCTCCAGGATGGTCAAATATACCAGGAAGCTTGCACCAATTGTTGGTGATGAACGTAGACGAAGGAGGGCATGTCATGAAGAAAGGTGATGAGTTGGCTGTGTTGTGCCCAGGTACTAGAGTCTGGGTGGTAGTCCAAAACGATGAGCAAACATGTATTTACAGTTCTGAGGAGTCTTCTTCTTTGCCTATACTCTCTGCTATTGATGTGCGCTCTATTCCCCATTTTATATAGTACAAAACAAAGCATATGTGCTAACGATGTACTCAGAATGTTATTACGACAGGTCCTGGTGATTACAGGACACACAAGGAAGTTATGGCGACAGGTCTTACCCGGGCTATACAATATACTCCCCCACCTTCCACCGCACAACCGGCAACTTCATCCTTACCCCCCGCACCTCATCGTTACCCGTCGCCACCTCATCTCCACCTATGAGCTCACCTCCACCATCTGTTACCGCACAATATGCCGGAGTTTCCAAACGCACAAATCTTGCTCTAGACCGCGGGCAGAGCTTTCGGCGTGCATTCGACCTTACATATGATGATGAAGAAGGGTTGGAACGGGGTGCAAGACTCAGGAAATATACGAATGAAAATATCGACTCAAGCTCCAGACGAACCCCTCGAATAAAATCCGAATCGAGCTCAAACTCAAGATCTTACATGAGGGACATACCTGAGTTTAGATCATCACGCAAAAGATCGACGTCAGGATCTAGGGCTTATCTCTAATTATTTTATGTTTTGTGCTATGGATTGTTTTATTACGGAGTATGGCAGGATCATTGGGGAGTCGGGGCGCACCAGGAAATAATATATAATGATTAACAATTGTGTTCTTGGCCGGTTCCATCAGTAACAGGTTTAAAGATTGGGTTATCTAGTTTAATCCCTATTTTTTTGTAGCTTATATTCAATGAGTTTTTTCTTATGCTTTATAGGTGAAAAACAACAATAGATTCGCTGAAGGTCTAAAATACTTATTCTTTATATAATTGAGTGAATTATAATATCTAGTAATGACAGTAATAGTAGTAGTAATATTGTACGTTTAGAGACCTCTTTGTGTGTGTGTGTGTTATTATTTAACGGCCAGAGGCCGAGGGGGCGAAGCCCCCCCATTCTCATGACATCCCCTCTTGGGGCAAAGGCCGCCAGGGAGTTACTCCTGGGTTTCTAATAGTTATATACATACTATTTCTACAGAGTGTAGTGATTCCTGAGCGCATTCCCATAGCTGCCGTGATCTTGATGAGAAATTAATCCTTCCTATTGGTGGAGGGATTACTTAGTATGAATTCTGCCGAGCTGCAGCCGGTCCGCCTAAAACCCCATGACCTTCTTAGCGCCTCCACAATTGATTATATAAGCTTTTTTTTTTTTTTTTTCTCTTACAAAGGAAATACAGGTTTTATGGTCAATTTTGATTGTCTGTTAGGGTAGCTCTGCGACCTGGGGTCTCACAGCGAGTGAATGGGGCCCTTTAAGATTGGGGGGGAGGGAGGTGGAGGGGACATATGTTGGTATAGAATCCGTTCGCTTTCGTCCAGTTTGCTAATACCTCAGCACCTTCGTAGGTACCGCAGAGGAACGGAAGAATATCGGCAGGTTTCCCTTTAGGCCGGGGGTGGTTTCTTTTGGCGATACTGCAGAAGAAGAAGTGTACTGGGGATTTACGGGCTCCACATCTGCAAAGCAGTTGTGCGTCTTGATGTAGGAAACGTTCGTGGTACGATGCGAAGTCTCCATGGCCTGAGCGGATAGCTATTAGGCGACCTAGGAAGGGTCTAGGGAGAGAGAGTTCTTTTGGGTTCCTTGGTGAGGTAAAGATCTCGAGGTCTCTGTAGGTTGTTGGGATCACTGTTGACCACAGCTGATTCATTGCTTTTTGCCTGAGTCCTTTGGTCACTCTTCTGAGTCCTGCATATGAGTAGGCCCCTGTGGGTTGAGGGAGGGCTGCCCCTGCCTTGGCCGCTTTGTCAGCCGCTTCGTTTCCTGCTACGTCTTTATGACCAGGGACCCATCGGATATGGACTGTGCCATTGTGCCAGGTTGAGGCTAGTTGGCGGAAAGCCGAGAAGGTGTCCTGGGAGGATCCGGTAGATTTGGAGAGGAGTCTTACTTCCTTCATTCTTCCTAGTGGAAGGCTCCCTTCGCAGAATTTGTGGTTGTCTTGGTACCCTACGAAACCGCCACCAGTGTTGCCGTTTGCAAGTTTAGACCCGTCAGAGAAGATAACGATATCTTCGCGAGGGAGTAGGTCATAGAAATCGTTGAATTCAGTAGCTGCTTCCTGTTTGGTACGGCCATTGGGGCTGTGAATACGCTTCATTATTTCTGCTCTTGATTCATATTCTAGCCATTTAGGGGCTGATAGGGGATCGATCTGTTCCGAGGGCGGAAGAGATAGGATACGGCAGGCGAAACGGGTCTTGAAAGAGCCGGGGTCCTCTTGGATCCATTTAGCTCTCCAGGCGAGAGGGTGGTAGGGGTCCAGTCTTCTGGTTCTAACTGTTGAAGCGCGAGCTAGGTCGTCCAGTTCAATTTCAGGCGGGCGGAGTCCTGATTCACGGTGCAGTATTGCTATGTTGGTTGTCCTCCATACTGGCAGGATTGCTCTGGCACACTCTAAGGTAACCTTACTTAACTGGTTGATATGGCCCTCCACCTTAGTAGGGTGGTTTATTCCGAATTGTGTTCTACCTGTCCACCAGGTTTCTGCTCCAAAGTATGCACGTTTGAGGACACATGCTTCAGCGGCTTGCCGTAGTAGTCTGGGAGGGGCTCCTCTTATAGAGTTACCCAGGGATTTAAGAGCTCTGGCTATTACAATAGCTTTCGTAGCTAGTTCTTTCGTATGCCATTTGAAGGATAACTTTTTGTCGAAGAGGATTCCGAGCCATCTAATATAGGGCTTTCCATTGGCAAGTTCTTTGATTGTTAGATCTCCCATAGTAATTGTAGGGGTAGTATCTGGGTTCTGTTCAGTCCTGCGTTTTGAGAAGTGGATGAGTTCTGATTTGCCGGGATCAAAGGTGATGCCTTCTGAGGCGCCCCAGGTTAGGATCTCCAGTGTGGTAGCGTTGAGTTCGGTGACATTATCATCCAGAGAGTTCGAGGCTGCTAGTATAGCTACATCGTCTGCGTAGCCGAATTTGATTGTGTCCTTCCCCATTTTGAAGATAGGGGCGATGTATAACATAAAGAGAATGGGTGATATAGGGGAGCCTTGTGGGAGCCCGCATTCAATGTTTGTTTTGGGGCCTGTGGTTCCATCTAGGCGAACTTGGATGGTTCTTCGGGTTACGAAGGAGGATAACCATTTGGTGAGGTTAGGGGCCCAGCCTTGTTCCCGGAGCCTCCGGATCAGGCGCCCGGGGAGGACAGCGTCGAAGGCTCCTTTGATATCGAGAGTGAGCAACGAGGCCGAGCCGTTTAAGTTAAGTGCATGTTCGACATCGTGGGTAAGGCAGGTGGTGAGGTCTACTGAGGATCTGAGAGGCAGGGCTCCGAATTGGTGTGTGGAAAGGACTTTATGGGAGATCGAGGTCCAGGACATTTGCCGGGCAATTAATCGTTCGAGTCCTTTGCCGAGGACTGAGAGTAGGGCGATGGGTCTGTATGATCTGGGAGAGGAGAGGTCGGCCTTATTGGGTTTGGGGATGATTGCAAGGATCGCACTGCGGAAGGATTTCGGGTGATATCCGAGGTGGAGACAGCTGTAGTAAAGTTGGGAGACGAATGGCTCGATCAGAGACCAGGCTTCTTTGAGGATTGCTGTAGGGAGTTCGTCTGCCCCAGGGGCTGTATTGCCTGCCAACAAGACTGCGTTCTGTATCGCTTGAGCATTGATGATTGGGGGAGGGAGTTGTTTGGTAGGGACAGTTGGGCAATCTATAGGGATGTCTCCAACTTCTGTATCTCTTTTGAGGAGATTGTTTATTAAGATGGTTCGTTTTTCCGGGGTCCCGGTTGCAAGGGGTCGGTTGGGGTGAAGGGGGTCCTTGAGAGGGGGGGAATGGAAAGAGCCTGTGGTTTTATGCCATTTAGATATGGCGAAGATGTCCTTGGCATGTTGGGCCTGGTCTATCTTTGTGCGGTAGAAGGATCTTTTAGCTTTTCGGATGGTTTGTCTGAAGAGTTGTTTGTCAATCTGATTTCGGTGGTATTGTATGCGTGCATTGCTGCATTCATCGTTCCACCAGGGTTGGCCTTTGTTTTGGCCTGTAGTTCTTTTGGCAGAGCCACAATAAGCTTTGTGGATGGCGTCTACAAGGTCATCGGTGAACTGGTCTAGTTCTGCTTCGCTTCGAGGTGGGGCATTCAGGGTTGTGAGATTGGTTTTTAAGAGGGATTTGAAAAGGATAGGATCGAGGCTTTTAGGACGAAGCTGTTTCAAAGTATTCGTTGTATTGGATATCCATGGGATATTTGTAAGGAGGGGAGTGTGGTCCGAGGTGACATCAAGGTGATAGGCGACACGGGTATTGAGGCCTTGTTGATGTAGTGTGTGGGAGCAAAAGGCCAGATCCAGAACATTGCCTATAGAGTGGGTAGGTTTATCTAGCTCGGATGAGAATACTAATTGGTGTTCTTCGAGCCATTTGTTGAAGGGGATAGAGGCAGGAGAGAGGTTTCCTGTATAGCTAGGTTGCCAGTTCCGGTGTGGGAGGTTGAAGTCCCCACAGAGGAAGG